TAAGCAGCCTTCCTTGAAAAGCTTGTACTTTTAGCTAGTAAGAATCTTGCAAGAAGTGACTGTTGCTACATCTCAGTACATTAGTGATTTTACACATACACTAGACAAACATTAAATTAAGTCTTACTTTAACATTGAGTGTGTCATACTTTAAAGATGCTATACCCGATTTATTTTCTAATGAGTTCATAAAAATGCTTATTACTACATACAAGTTGTATTATAATCCGTACTTTAATTGAAAACTTGAGCTCATTGACTCAGCTGTGTATGAATTCAGGCCGTAAAAAGTGCTGAGTAGAGACTTATCGTGACGCCCGCTCTCCTCCACTCACAGAGCGAGGCTGCGTCCTCTAGCCTCTACAGCATTGGTAAACACAGTAGCATGTTAGCAGAATTGGCTATAACTCCTCTTGCTGTAACTTCAGACACAGCAAAACAGCCTAAACGACACAACAGTGATGAAGAGAAGAGGGAACTAAAGCGAAAAACTGATCAAAGAAGAAATCAAGCCCGGGTAAATATAGCTAGCTTACATTGTATCCTCTGGAGACACCTGCGGGACTGGCTCGGACTATCTCTGCTCGGACTACATTCGGACGCGAAACTAGTGGTAATCTTTCAGTTATATATTTTGTTAGCAGTGCGTTGCTTTTGTACCATTTCATCAGTCATTGTTGTACAGCTTAAGTTGCGCTAATGTTAGCATATGTATCGGATCGCAAATAAAACTAGATGGCTCAGTGGGATGAGAGCACAGGGGAAATGGGAAGCCTCTGAGCGAGTTGAGGGGCGGTGCTAAACATTCAAACCTTGCAGAAACGGGTATAGCTCCTTTAATTTCAAAATAGCATTAACATATTTTCTTTTATGTGTCCCCAGAAAATGTCAATATGGTCATGGTTCTATGACTCCAAACTGGAATGTTTTCCCATTCTTCTTTGCAAAACCGCTCAAGCAGTTAAATTAGACGTGAGCGCTAGTGAAATGCAGTTTTCAGACCTTTTCACAGATTCTCAGTTGGATTGAGATCTGGACTTTAGCATGGCCATTCTGTTTTGTTTTGTTTCTGTTTGAAGGTGAACCTCTGCCCTAGTTTCAAGAGTCCAAAGTTCTTATCCAAGATTGCCCTGTATATGGCTCCATGTATTTCCCCCTCTGCCCTCACCCTCTTCCCTGTCACTGAAGAGAGGCACAGTAGGATGCTACCCACACTATGGCACGGTATGAAAATTTAACCTCACAATTATTGTGACCAAAAGTATCATGGTTTTCTGTATTTTTATTTTTATTTTTATTTTACCGTTCATTGACTATGTTCAGAAAGCATTGGTCCTAACCTAATCGTACCTCACCTTAGTACAAATGACATTTCGTGCTAAGGTCTGGATTTGGTCCATTGAGCTCCGTTTACAGGTAGGAGGGGCTAACGTTTGGATCTGAGTTTACCGTGACGTTTGAAATGCGACCGAGTGAGTCGTTAGCATTTAGCATTTAGCCTAGCCATCTCCTTTGCCGCTAACGGAGCCCGTGGGAAGTAGGAATCTTTGCCAGCAATGACTTTTGCTATACATTCCTCTTACTCCGGCTTCAATTTCTTGATAGAACCAGACCGGATTACTTTACTATCGCATTCTTCACCATTGCCAAACCACAACCAGCCCGTTCGGCGCAAACTCTTGACGTCACTCATAACTAACTACAACACCCGCCTTCCGTGCTCGCTGATTGGTCGGATGGAATTCTACCGATGTAATCGCAAACACAGGGACCAGACCCAGACGTTGCCTGCAGGGAAATGATGATTGACCGGAGTGTACGGATGGCTAAGGCCAGGCTACATTGGTCCTACAAAAACTGAAATAGTTAAAAAAAAAAAGTGAACAAATGTCAGCTGCAAGTAACATTTGGTTGATAACACTTAATTATTATACACGTAGTAAATTTCACTAAAATGATTAATACAAACAAAGTGTATGGTATTGTGCCTTCAACTCGCGCTCAAGAATGCAGTGTCTTCATTTCACCATCTCATCTATTACTGTTTACCTGTTTGGGCATAGCATGTTAGCAGCCAACAGGCAGGTAGATGCGTAAACATTATTGACAGACAGATAACCAGACAAATCGTTACATTCTCTCTCAAGCATTGGCTATAGAGTTGTGGCTGGTGCTCAACCAGAGAAACCATCATGGAAACTTTTGTTCTGCACATTCTGTGGACAGGATAGCTGTTTTCCATCAGATGTCTCTAGGCATTCTTTAAAAATCCAAAATGGCTGATAAATGTACCATTACTGGGGGCTGTTGTCTCCACATTTGGTCATGATTCCAAAGTGCACCCGTGCGGCAACGTCAACAGCCTCAAGGACACGGGAAGGCTCACGATGCCATACGCCACAGGCACGATAATCATAGAGATAATATCTTTATTTTTACAATCGTGACATCCCTAACCCACAACATGTTTGATAGTGGTTTCATGGTGATGTGCAGTGTTTCTTTTAGTCAAAAAGTTACACTTTGATCGACTGTCTTCCACAAGTTGAAAGCTTCCCTTACCAGAAAAATGAAGTCTACATCTGTGATCAACGCTTTCGGTTTGGGCAGACAGCAGAGTCTTGGTAGATTTGCCGTTGTGCAACTATGTATCTCCTAACTTATATGTCCCTGGACCTCTCTGTGCTCTTTGGACTTCATTATGCTGTTTGCTCCCCACAGATCTCTGAGACCATCAAAGAGCAGCTGTATCTGAAATTAGAATAGATTACCCAAAGCTGGACTCTATTTAGTCAATAGGCTATTATGCTCAGAAATCATCAGGCAACTTCTGAAGGCAATTGTTTGCACAAAGGAAAGGAGATATACTTTTGCACACCCCTCCATTTGTTATTTATAAATAAAAAGTTGCAAAATCATGTATACATTTATTATTATTGTAAACACATTATTAGGGCATAATACTTACAGTTTTTTCAGGTGGTTTAGCTCATCTCTTGAAACAGACACATAAACAAAATCCATAATAAACCATAATTTATATTTAAAAAATCTCACCTTCAGCCCTCCGCGGGCGGTTATCCCTCTCTAAGCTCTACCAGAGGCCTGGGAGCTTGAGGGTTCTGTGCAGTATCGTTGCTGTTCCTAGCACTGCACATTTCTGGGCAGAGATTTCCAAGGTTGTTCCAGGGATCCGCTGTAACCACTCATCTAGCTTCGGGGTCACTGCCCCGAGTGCACCGATCACCATGGGCACTACTGTCACCTTTACCCTCCAGGCCCTCTCCAGTTCCTCTCTGAGACCTTGGTATTTCTCGAGCTTTTTGTGTTTTTTTTCCCCTGATGTTACCATCGCTTGGAATTGCCACGTCCACCACCACGGCTGTCCTCTGCCCTTTATCTAACACCACGATGTCAGGTTGGTTCGCCATTACCATTCGGTCGGTCTATATCTGGAAGTCCCACAGGATCTTTGCAGGCTCATTCTCCACCACCTCCGGGGGAGTTTCTCACTTAGACCTTGGGGTTTCCAGCCCCAAGGTCTAATATATATATATATATATATATATTACAGTATACACTAGAGCCTCTTATAATACACATAGCCTCTAATATATATAATATATATATAAATTAGAGGCATAGAGCCACCTTCTATGACTCTGTGGTGGCATCAGCCATCTTGTACGGTGTGGTCTGTTGGAGCAGCAGCATCACAGAGAGGGACAGGAAGAAGCTGGACAAGGTCATCAGGAAGTATAGCTCTGTCCTGGGCTGTTCCCTGGTCACAGTGCAGCAGGTGGTGGACAGGAGGGTCCTGGACAAACTAACATCCATGATGGGCTATGAATGTCACCCCCTGCAGGACAGTCTGCTCTGGAGAGAAGTTTCAGTGACAGACTAATTCACCCTTGTTGTGTGAAGGAGAGGTTCCGCCAGTCTTTCCTTCCTGCTGCTGTCAGACTGTACAATGAAAACTGCTGAGCCTGTATACGTCATTCAATACTGAAATAATTTGCAATATTGCAACTTCAGAATGTCCACTGAACAATGTCACTTTACTGTATCTACTCATTATCCTGCCTATTAGAGGTGCAACGGTTCATCACTGATCCGTGATCCGTTCGGTTCAACGTCTTCGGTTCGGTACAGACGTGATCCGCGGTTTGATTTATGAAAAAAAAGTTGTGTGCACGTTGTTCAGTCCACACACAGCGCGGTCATTGCGAGCGGAGGAACGGAGATGCTTGAAAGCCCTGCGTCATTTAAATCCCCAGTATGAGAGCATTTTGGCTTCACTGTAACTACACTGATAATTAATATTCAACAAAACTGTCACGGTGTGTAAGCACTGTGGCACAAGAAAGACATGAGTGAAAAAAGCGTCTCAACGACCACCTATTGTCGCGGCATTTAAGCAGCTCCTTTACGCACAGTCAGACCGGGCTAAAGTCAACTCTCCCGCACATCCTCAGCTGCGCTCACGACTGACGCTTGGACGTCCCGTGGAACCTATAATAGATCCATGAGCGGAACCGCTCACTTCATCACCGCAGAAACTCCTCATAAAGTGCCTTCTTATGTTGCACCTTGTGTTGTTTTTCATTAATTATGTTAAATAGACATAATTGGATGGATGGAATATGCCTTCCATCCATCCATCCATTTCCTTCCCCTTAATTCATTTCTAGGTCAGGGGGGGCAGTCAGAGCAGGTGCCGAGTCCACATGAGCTGTGTTTATTAAAAAGACAAAACTTTTTTTTAGAAAAATGAACCGAAAAATGAACCGAACCGTGGCCTCTGAACCGAGGTACGAACCGAACCGTGATTTTTTCAAACCGTTGCACCCCTACTGCCTATAGTATATAACTCTGCACTACGCTTTTTTTTAAAGACTGGTATTGAAGCAATTAACAGCATTTACAGCTAACTAAAAAAACATAGCTACTACTTATTTTGTACATATATATGAATAAAATAAAAACCCAAGAGCTGCACCATGACCTCTGACCAGTGGCCTTCTGCGCGCGGACCTCAGAGCGCAGCTCCGCTCCAGCAGACTCTTGCAGCAGAGCCTTTTACTACAGATGAACAGCCAATGAGCGCAGGGCTGTGCACACACCAATGTGATGCTCGTAAAAGCAGCACGGGTCCATACGGAGTCCCTCTACACGCACCCCGCCAGGTTTCTCCCACAGCAGGCCACTCATCCTTCCCCTGCGCCCCTCTGCAGGCCCGAGCACTTCCCCACACTTTCCCCACTCCTGGACTCTTCATTGGAATTCTTCACGTGTGTGCTCATTTGGAGTTTGAACACGTGGCTCATTAGGAAAAAAAACCGGAATCTGTTTTTTTTCCCTTGGTCCTTTTCTTCTTCTGGCTTCAGCGTGCGTCCAGCGTGCGTCCTCTCCTGCGTTAGTGGCTTTTCTGAGTTTAAACCGCAGTTAATAACAGCGTTCCTCGGTCTCCGTGGCCGGTGGGGAAGCCTCTTTCACACAGTCTCAGAAGCCAGCGAGGAGACCAGAGCCTGCTGCCGCCATGAACAAGCTGTACATCGGCAACGTGAGTGAGGAGGCCACGGAGAAGGACTTCGAAAGTGTGTTCGAGTCACGGAAGATCCCGTACACCGCGCCGTTCCTCGTCAAAAGCGGCTTCGCGTTCGTGGACTGCCCCGACGAGAAGGCGGCGATGAAGGCCATAACCGAGCTCTCAGGTGGGAGTGAGTTTGGAAGTGTTCTGAGGCTGTTCTCACGCGTTTCTTTATGTGGTTATGGACATATATACTTAAATATGTGTATAATTATATGACATTATTTATTTACGTGTGTGTTGCATGTTTAATGGTTTTGGAACTTATGTTGCTCTCTGCTTGGCTGTGTGGACTCCATACTTGTGTGTAATTCGACTTTGATCGCGCTTAGCAGTGGACCCACACGGGGGCCAAAGGAGATGGCTTCATGCAGAAGGGACTCGTAAAGAACCTGTTTGCTGTATTGCTGTCTCCAGAACTAACCTCCAGCCGGGCTCGGGAATGCTCGCAGCCGGTCTAGGCCACCACTAAGGCGGTCATTCCTGCTCTGATCACCTCTTCACCCTTTGCTCCTCTCCTGATTATTTACACTGCTTGTATTTCTGACAATCAGTAGATAAACACAGTAGAATGTGGAGACTGGTCACGTGAAACCAGGTGCTTTCACTTGAGAAAATCCCAAACTATCCTCACCTTCGTTTTATGAATGATGCGTGGATGGAAGCCGAATTGTGCCTTTTCTAAGACTTGTATTGACAAAAATGTCGACTATGAAGCAATATTGCATTGCACTACACCTCAATGACTGTTGTATTTTTTTTTGTGCTCCAGATAAAGTTGACCTGCTTGGGAAAGTTCTCCGCGTGGAATATTCTGTGCCAAAGCATCAAAGGTAGGCGAACATGAGGCTTCGGGATTAGGCCTTTTTGGGGTTTCTGATTTATTTATATTTGCATTTTGTCCTTTTACAAAACAAATTTATTTTCTGGCTGTGGTTCTAGTCTGGATTTGACCCATTTCCTGCCTCCGTGCTCGGGTCACACACAGGGTTGTACTGGTGTGTGTGCGTGCGCCTTGGACCTTCCATAGCCCTGGTCTCGTCACCTCCTTCATACACGCAGCGTTAAACCTTCTGTATAAATGATGCGTGTTCGTCCGAAATGGTCAGTGTTGGTTGGAATGCGTGTGTAGCTGTTTGCACATGGGAGGCGTCCATTAGGCGGTGTTGGCGTCCCTCCCCCATCTCCGCTGCGTGACACGCACTCCCCCAAAGCGACTGGATTGTGTAAAGTTCTACGTACACGCTGTTCACGCTGCGGTGGTTTGGTTCAAGATTTCCTCCAGAACGACACTATGCAGGCCCTCAGAAGAACACTACGCTCGGATGTGTCTTTAGAGTCTCACTTTGAAATATTCGAATATACGTGAAAGCGGGTTAAATGTATGCAGCAGGGGGAAGCGTGCGTTGCCCAGGCCCCTTGTTCTGACGTGGAAGTGAAAATGGCGGAGCGCGGGGCCACAGTGTGATGTCGGACACTCCCTCTGCTGCTGTTACTGCTAGTGTAGTGTAGTGTATTATACTGTAATGTAGTTACGAGTGCATTTAGACTGGGGGTTCTCTAGGTCTGGGTCAGTCACAGGGGGACAGTGCAGGGGCCTTCACTACTTGGGTTCCTCTAGGGCCACTCCATTAAGACAAATTAACAAATAGCTATTTTTGGGTTGCCATTCAATTCACGGTTTCTAAATACAGTTGTACATCGAATAGTACATTGAACTTGGTATTGGAACAAAGTTGTGTTTTACATAAAAATGTGAACAAAATGTTATCACTTAAAACAAAGACACTGTTTAAATTAAGCTTAAGATCCATGTCTCAAATCGGAAATTTATTGATTCAGAAATGTAATTGGTGTTCCAGATGCAGGTAGCATTTTCATGTAACTTGTCCCTATTTATTCCCAAAATAACTTTATTCACAATGCTTTACAAAGGGGAAAAAAGTGACCATTTGATCACGTTTCCAAGTCTTGTACTATAATCATTGCCACCTTTTAATCCTTGTACTATACCTTGGGTCAAAGATGACCTGTCAAATTGAATTAAAGTTGAGAAAAATATCCTAAATTAGGGTGTAACTGACCCAGGGTGGTAAGGTAGAGAGAAAAAAAAAAAAGGTTGAGAAAATAGTTTTCTAATCTGAGAATGGAACATTCTCCTGCAAAACACAATTTAATTTAATACATTTTTTAAATGGCCCTAAATCACAACAGCAATTGTCTCTGCAAACTTTATGAAGTTGTCCATACCTCATAAACCAAATCAAAGGGTTAGGACACAGGGAATGGAATAATAAAAAATCAAAGAAGCTATCGGTCCTTTGGGGGCGGATGACCAGTGTCCATAAACGTCCCGGATCATCACTGTCCTTAGACCCTCCTGCGTCAACAAACTTCTTAAAAAATAATGGCTGCATATCGTCTGTTCTGTGAGTTTATTTGGCATGAGCACCTGACGGTCCTTTTGGCTGCATTCATATTCACAAATAAAACTCCCTCTTCTGAATCGATCCTTGTTTTGATTGACCGGTCATTTGACCTCCTGGGGCTGGCCATTCTCGTAAAAGCTGAAAGTTAGTTTAGCTGCGTTTGGGTGCAGCTGGTTTAGTAGAACAACACTGGACTTGCAATTGGACCCCAGTGCAAGGATGAGATTCTCAGAACAAGAATATCTGTAAAACCCAACCTTTAACTTTTTACCATTCTGTTACTTCAACCGACTGAAATGACAGTGGTGAGACCAGTATATTATGTTGCTGTAGGATTGAGTGTTTGGTGTTTGCTTATCACTACAGCTCCTGTACAAACTGAACATTAGGGGTTTTTCAGTGACCAATAACCCCAGGATTTTAAATGAAAAACAAAGGAGTCAAATATACCAGTAATTTATCACCACCGCACTTTCCTATATGGTTTTTATGGCTAAATGGAAATTTGACTCATTATATTAAATAGGTATTGTGTGCTTTTTTTAGAATGACAAATGTAGACAGTGACTATTTTTCTATGAAATTAAGCTAGGAAGTAGCCCTTCATGTTGTTTTTTCCGCCTCCCAGCCCAAAATATTATTTCTAGATGCATGAGATGTCTGTAAAATCTAATAATTATAATTTGCAATGTCTGTCAAGTGCAAAACCTGCTTCATTTTAGCAGCAAAGAATTGGATTGGGACTAGGGCTGGGCAATAAATCAAATTTTGGCAATTAATCGGCTTTTGAAAAAATCGAATTCGTGAAAAATGTTAAAATCGTGAAATCGAATGAGGGATATTGTGAGAGTTCCAGCAGCACATAAATTATACTTGCGATATCAGCACAGTCTGTACAAGACTTTTATAATATGTATTGGGGGAAACAAATAAAAAATAGTTTAGAAACTTAAAATATTTTTTATCTTCCCGCTCAATATTTTAAGGGCAAAGTCTGTCTTGAGTGACTTTAATGAAAATCGATTTAAAATCGACATCGTCCAAAGCAGGAAATAAAATCGAGATTTTAATTTTTTTGCCATATCGCCCAGCCCTAATTGGGACACAGATAAAATATAAATATTGCAACACTGTTTTGATGAATGGTATTTGCTCATGCTGAGTGGTGTTCATATAGCATGCGCTGATGCTGCGCAGCAACGAAGATATCATAAAAACTTTTAAAGTGTGAGGCGCAGCAGATGACTGCGGTTAAGTCACTTGGATAATTATAATCACATTTTTCATAAATATTCTTACTGTTTAAATAATAAAGGAATAAAGGTTATGGAAAGTGTGAGTCCCTGGCCCTTCGCAGTCTGAAACTTGTATATGATACAGTCTTGACACAGACTTCCCTTCTCCTCACACACTTCCTCCAGCTCATCTGGGGGAATCCTGTGGCGTTTCCAAGCCAGCTGAGACAGTCCCTCTGTGTCCTGGATCTTCCCTTGGTCTCCTCCCAGTGGGAAATGCCCTGAATACCTCCCCAGGAAGGCGTTCCTGAAGCATCTGACACTGGTGAAATTGCACCTTTTCAGGCCCTGCAGATGTGCAATTTGGTTGGTTTTGAAAATGTAATAATAATAATAATAATAATCTTTATTTATATAGCACTTTTAAAAACAGTGTTTACAAAGCGCTGCACAGTCAGCATGATAAACAATAAAAACAGTCATAATGCAAGGTCAATGTAGACCCTAAACTCCAAAAAATATTCAATATACAAGGATGTCTGTACGTCTTTTAAATACTACTGTTACTACTACTTTTAAATTACCGGCCACAGTGATTTAAAGTAGACATGACCCAGGTCAAGTTGGGGAAGAAAATCATCAAAATTCAGCACAAAATGTTTTTTGTGTATTTTCTAATCACTGGCAGGTCAATGAACATGGGCCTAAAAGCAGCTGGTAGAATCTGCCAACCCCTTCTGTTCCTGGTCTTTTACATGTTGGGTACTATAGCTTTATTGTAAATATAGTGTATGCAATGTGGTATCAAACATAAATTAAACACTTATTAAAGGGTACGGTCGCTGCTGCTTGGTGGTTCCAGAAACCTCCACACTTTCATGCATCTCTGCTTTATCTCCTGCTATTTGACAGATCACTGATGTTTTACATGTGGCATGTAGCTGTGCCGTTTGGAGCATTTTCTATCAATTAACTCATTGCCTGCCAGCCCATTTCAGAACAGGTACTCCCATATTGCCAGCCATTTCTGATGGTTTTTACTGATTTTTAAAGACCCACAGAATATTGTGTACTATGACTATCTGAAATCCGACACCAGATTCTAAAATAATTGACTGTCTACTTTCCTCAGCAAAAAGAATTTTGTTAATAGCTTTTTTTGTTCCCCTGTAATCCTCCGTCGAGTAGAGGGAAGTTTTACTGAAATCACCAGAAAGTTGAGAAAAAAGAGGCACATGTGCACCTGTTTTCAAACCATTCAGAGAAATGCTGGCTCGATAAAATATGGTCTCAAGTCATCCCCATACATATTAGATACAATAGACATCTGGGAACGTGAAAATAGCGGAAAAGGCAATTGACGTATTATGCGTCAATGGCACACAACGTTACTATTTCCTTTACGTATTTGTGCGTCAATGGGACACAATGAGTTAAAGTTAAAAATTCTTACCTCCAAAATGTGAGTCTGCTTCTCATCTCCTTGGGTTGTACTGGAGCTGTGTGTAGTTTGCGTAATCTCCCTATGCCCGTGATAGTTTCTGCGTGCGCCGGTGCTTCACTAAAAACATAGATGCTATAGGCCTGGCATGCACCTCCTGTATGGCCACCATGCTTCCACCACTTGTGAGAGGGATAACGTTGTTTCAGTTTGCCTTGTTTAATAACTTGTGGTCAAAGCTCACAATTCGTTTTGTGTTGCACAACATGCTTAGATCTCAGATCTACCCTGCACTACCAGCAGGTCTTTAAATACTTGCTTTGCTTGTATTTGTAAAACCTTTTTGCAGACATCGCTTCATACACACAGGTCTATAGACTGTACATCACTCACAATAGAGGATTGGGAAGCACTGGGCAAGAGCAACAGCAAAACGGGACAATTAAGGTCCCATTTACGTGGAGATGCTGTGACAATAAAACGATAGTTGGGCGTCAGACTGGCCTTTCGTTCACACGGAGACAGTGTTTCAAGGGGGTTAAAACGCAAGTGTTGAGAAACGGCCTCAAGAATGGATCAAAACTGATGCTGTCTGACGGGGGCCGTATCGCAGCAATGTTCAGAAAAGGTGTGAATGCATGTAGACATGCTTCTAACATTACACTGAGGATATTCATATATTCCTTCATATTCTCTGCTGCTAAGGGACAACATATACACCTCTGAACCAAGTGCAATTATAGCTTGAGTTTTATCTTATTCTACTTTACAATGTTTTTAATTAAAATGATAAGTGTCTATTAAATAGACTCTGGGGCCTAGATTGCACACAATCTAGTGCTCTTTTCTTATTCTGCTGTAATGTGGCAACAAAATTCACTGTGGAACGAATTAATATATTTTAGCTGAAACAATTCCTTGAGTCTATCAGTGTTGCTTCACCAACAGTAGGAATGAGGAGCGCACTGCACAATAACTCTATACTAAAATACAAATCTAATAACTTGAGCATAATTAAGAAGGAAGTAGGGCTGGGCGATGAAACGGTAACTATTGCAATACACGTGTTTGATATCAATAGAAAATGGGGTCGATAGAATTTTTGATAGTTTAACTTCACTCCGTTAGAAAAAAGGAAGACACAGAAAGTAAAGCGGAGTCAGAAGCGCGCGCCGTTCTGGGGGATGTAGGTCGAGAAGCCTCTGCCTATCACGGCTGGGCATGAACCGCAAAACCTTCTGGGAAATGAAAAAAAACATATGCACCATTTGTTACGTTTGTGGATCTAAAGTTGCTTCAATGCTGTGTCAATAGTTATGCACGTTCGTGCGACGAATAGCATGTGCTGCATGGCAGAGGCAGTGGGCAAAGCGACCCGATGCATGCGGCAAAAGCAAGAGATTAACTTTTTTCCTCTGGAACCACGTGCGGCTATCAGAGATGCATGGAGCTGTCACGGGGACACAAGACATTCGAGTAATGTCTTGTTAATTATAATGACCTCGATTACAATTTTTAATTAAAGCTTAAAAATGTATTGTAATTAATCACATTTTGAACTAACGGCAAAATTAGGCCCTTTTGTTCTGTAAATGGTGGTTTTAATGGAAAAATAAATAACATGGTGATGGTGTACATATGTACTGTTTTGTTTATTCTAACACTAAATCCTCATAAAAAGGCATTAACATAATTAACATTTTGTCTTTCTGTGGTACAGTGTTTGTTCTAAGTAGTATTAAAAGTTGTATTAAAATCAGTAATTATCTTAACAGTTGAGCTCATTGATTCAACTGTGTATGAATTCAGGCCATAAAAAGTGTAGAGTAGAAACTTTGCGTGACTCTCGTTCTCCTGTATTTTGTTAAGTCCGTTGCTTTGGTACCATTTCATCAGTGATTGTTGTACAGCTTCTAAGAAGTTGTGCTAATGCCTACCTGCTCTGTCGCCATCTCACACGCATGTGTCAGTGTCACGTCTGAGTGTTATGGGATGCATGGGCGGGTCATTCGGCACTTGCGTTAATGCGGTCATTTTTTGACGCTATTAATGAAGAAAATTAACGTGCATTAACTCCTGTGTGTGTACACACACACCATTTTTCTATATCTTGTATATAGGGCAGTGAAATCGATAAAGGAGCACTTTGGTGGTGTTATAATTTTTTTCAACAATGGAGCAGCCTCTTGTACGTTGGACTTAACACCTCACCCCTCTCCATGCTCAGTCCTGGTTGAGTTTAGAGCTGCAGCCAATGGTCCACGTCAACTGTAGACTTAAAGGCACACCGTGTAACTCTTGGCCACTAGGGGCGCTAGACCTGCAACTTTCACGTTTAGCGCCCCTAGTGGCCACAAGCAACTCAGCACTGTCGCAAAAGTCAACGAACAGTCAGCCGGTGTCTTTTGAGTGTGTATTCAGACAGCATGCACTGGTGTGTGTGTTCAAACTGTAGAGACATGCCTACAGATATTGAGAGACTCTGCTGTGGTCAGCCTCCAGACCGCTGCATTAGTAATCTACCACACATGGACTTCTATATCCTGGATGAGGGAGTTCTGCGTCTAGCTCGTGCTGCGTGGAATGACATCTTTGCAGTCGATGACATCCAGGAACCAGGTGAAGAGCAGCGCTCATACAGACATGCAGCTTACAGCACGATCCCTTTCGCGTTTCCTCTTTTTAGCCTCCTCCGAAGGTTTAAAATTTTTCCTTGCCTCAGCCATGACCAGGAGTCGAGCAGGTGAAAAATGAGTAGCAAAAGCCTTAGCTCCATGAGTATATCAGCGCCTGTAGCCGTAAAGCAAGTCTTTCTTCCAAGTCACGTGACCTGGTGGCAGACGGTCCGTCTGCTCGAAACTTACATGGGCGGTATTTCAAGAGGGCAGCCCCGCTCGGAGCATTGCAAGTGTCAAGCGCTGTATATTGGCCCAAGTATTCATATAAAATAACTCATGTGTCAACTCTTTAGGTCACAAAGTCCGCGGTGTGCCTTTAATGTTGACTTATCGACAAATTCCTTTTTTGGAGGAATTCACTGATACAACTATAAACGGTCAACACTGGACTAGGCCTGTCACGATTACAAATTTTGCTGGACGATTAATTGTCTAAGAAATGATTGCAATAGTATTGCCGTTTTGAGATCATTTTCATCTAATATAATGATGATGATGCAGGTACACCTTTTCAGAGAAATACTTTTATTTTTAAAGACCAGCGGCGGAAGTAAAAAGGTCAGCACTAGATCATATACGGAATCGGGACGGAAGCGGAAGTAAATATAACAAACTACCTATTCCTGCCTAAACTTAACCGGCCATTCCTATAAAATAACCCCAACCCACCCTTAACCCTAAACTTAACCATCTTAATTAGACGCCTAAACTTAACCAGTCACCACTTAAGGACTTTTTAGTCTAAAACTAATTTGAAAAAAGGATTACTTCCGGTTTCGTCCCGATTCCGTATATGATCTAGTGCCGACCGAAGTAAAAAGCCGCTAGCTTGATGCTAACTGTTAGCATCATGCTAGCGGCTTTTTGTGTGAAGTTCTTGCCAATAATGTCCAGAAACTTTATATAACAGCAGTATGTGTTCACGGAGGTGCGTCATACGTTTAATAATAAAATAATCTGTACTTTCGCATCGCAAACACGCTAGCTAGCTAGTTGGCTAACTGCACTAGTTTAGTCAGTACTAGAGCCTGAATGAGAACTGTGTCCCCCGATCCTGGTTAAGTCCTGGTTTAGGTCCCGTTTTGGCTGTATTCTGTATTTTTGAGTTATTTCAGTCTGCTCGCGTCACGCGTGACCACTTTGCGGCTCTCTGACCCGAGAAGGAGAGAGGGACGGGAAAACAAACAAACAAGCATGCAAATGGAATTCATCGCGGACGGGAAAACAAACAAACAAGCATGCAAATGGAATTCATCGCGGCCAGGAAAACTATCGAGCTAATTTTAATTATCATGCGATTAATTGATTTATTGAATATTGTGACAGGCCTACACTGCACTAGACCCTAGAGTCCTGGCAGAGGATATGTCCCCTCTGCTGTTCTTTACCATTGCTATATTACTAAAAACAAATTGAGCTTTGATTGAAAGGAGAGCAAAGACGTGAAGGCTCAGGGTTGTAGACCGCATGTTTGAGACCCCTGCTTTACATTCTAAGACTTAATCATTAAGCAGCAAGGAATACGTTTATTTAAAACAGACTTCTCTCAGCTCTGGAGCCCTAAAATTGCTGATTGTCTTGACGGCTCGCAGCGCATTCTAAGCCATACACTGAAATCACTTTTCAGATACACCTGGAAGATGTGACTGCTACAGATACCCATGTATCAGTAACAGTGTTAATCCAAAGAACTAGTAGAAAAGGGTGCAGTGAGGGCTACCTTCAAATGGCGACAGACTAACAGATGCTGGGTACGGTCTCCCACAGACCATACCCAGACCTAGACTACATGAATGTTTGACTGATTGTTGTGGGCATGCCATGGTATCCACAGTAATACAATGCCATCAGTGCTCAAAGTTCATATCTGATTCAGGTTAGGGGCCACTAAAGACGGGCCTTTTGTGTTTCTAACAGAATCAGCAAAAGCAATTTCTTGTATTCAATTTTTTTTCCCAGAAAGCTTCAGAGCCATTGCCTCAATGATGGATTTTAGTAGATGCAAATCCAGACATTTTACATGTTATACGCCAAGATTGTTTTTGAAATGTTATGTATAAAATTGTCAATTGTGTAGCAAGTTTGACAACATTTGATCACAAGAGACAGCCGAAGTGTTGGATGGATGGATCTAAAATGAAGGGAATCAATTGAAGGCAAATGTCAGTGCATTTTTATTTGGATGAAATGTGAATAGTAAATGGTAAATGTGCTTGCAGGAGCTGTAAGCTGCAGATCCGGAACATCCCACCACACATGCAATGGGAGGTGAGTGACTCTACACGGCTCTGATCATGACTATCTCTAAGAACTCTAAGACTTTTGAATTCAAGGGTAATGTGTTCTATTTCAGATGTACACTTGAATAGGAATCTCCCCCCGTTCCATATGATCCCATTTAGGTTTTTATATTTCTAATGTACAGATGATCCATGTCCCTATGCTTCTGCGGTTGAGAGCGGTGACTCAGTATTCAGTATTCTCTGTATGAGATATGAGTGGCCATTGCCTTCACCAGTCCGCGGGGTGACCAGAGAAAAGAGCGTCCAACTCTATGTTCACCACTTGCCGTGTCCCTTTCTTTTCCTGTTCACATGTTCTGGAACTTAAATGTATTATCCACCATGAAACCTGCATATATTATTTGTGTGTGAGCTGATAAGCTACAAAGGCATAGTAGCAAATGAAGCATGGGTCGTATTGACTTGTTTTGATTGGGATGGCGAATGAGTTAAACAAAAAAATCAATGTTGTGAAACATTTTTGGTCTCGCTATAAATGAATCATATTGATATATATTCATCCAACAGTCAGGATGAAGCTCAGCATTTACAGCTTTGGGGGCACAACGTTTCAGCAAATATGGAAGAGAATGTGGGTGGAGTTCATAAGCCCCGTCCGAATTCTCTCCTAACCCTTAATTTGGATTTTGCGCGTGCCCTCTGGGGGTGAGGGTGTCTCAATACTTGGGGAGCAACGGCAAGTGCACTCACACCCTTAAACTCTGGCCCACACTTACGGCAAAGGGTGATCCCATGATGCATTAGGTTAGGTAGCTGTCGGGCAAAGCCACGCCACAATGAAAGAAAAAACATGAAACACCCGAGCGCAAGTATATGCTGAACTGGTGGAAGCTTCAAAGAGTGTGCGAGTTTTTTATAGGTTTTTTTCTCTTATTTTGAATCCATGCATGGATGTAGTTCAGAGTGTTCATCTCTTTGGCAAGTTACTTTGTGATCCGTGGCTGCACCAGTGTGTCTGTGTCCATGATACGTTTGTGTGTCTGCCTCTCTCGGTGCGTACCCGCGCCTGTGTGTCTCTCTGTGTGTAATGTGGAACAGTCCTTCACATAATTATATCTAATCTTCATATGAAGTACAATAAAGAAACGTCTCATTTTAATACTTTAATACTTTAAATGTAAAAAGTTCATTTTGTCTTATGTTTAAGGCTTTGAAGGTTCTTTTAATGAGACAAAGTTTATTAGTTTTGCAAGTTTTGACAAGGTTTTGGACTGGGAAATCTCTCTGGCATCTGGCAACACTGACTACCCCAGTCTACAATCTGATGTATTTATTTCATTGCTGTGCATTAATACTGTCCACTCTGACATTTGGGGGAAACGTGTTTAATTTAAACGTTATGTAAAGTTTATGACGATTAACAGGTTTGAGGTCACCCGGTGTCCTGCACATTTCAATTGCTATTGTTGGAATTAACATGATGCTAGTTCCATTTGGATGAGTCGTTTCATTGCACTTTGTTTTGTACTTTGTCTTGATCAGCAGCAGTGTCTCTGTGGCCGTAGGGCTCTTCCACTGGCTTCCAGGGGCCTAGTCCCCTCGTCGTGAGGTCAGAGTACAAAGCCTAGTTGCCTCATGAGGTTTGGAGCCTGGTGAAAGAGGCTTGGTGGTTTCCTCTAAAGAAAAGTTATCACAATTTGAACACTCTGCATATAGCTGTCAGAAATCTATAAGCACGAGCTCCATGACCTAGAAGTGTCATCACGGCACTTTTAACATGCTGCTACTTTGAGGCGTCCTTGTTCATTCCAAATGCAATATTTTAGTTTGAAAACTACATGTCATAGTTTTGTAGCTTGTTTGAAATGGGAGCATTTGGACAGAAGGTAGATGTGTGATATTGGGAAGCTCTTGTTCTCTATGCTCAAAACTAACATTATCACCTGTGGTGTTTGCCAAACATGAACACTATAGATTACAAATTACTCAACGTATTTAGAGTATTGCCCTGTTTCTCATAATTTATCCTGATTCTGGTAATTAAGTACTGAAATATCTTTCCTAGAACAAAAGTTTAAGAAAAAAATAAAACTGTTCATTTGAAGAACCATGTGGGCACAGTTGAGTGTCACATTTCACCACATGGCTCTCACACTCTTTCTGCAGTTTTTTGTTTTTGCTTTTTCACCATAACTTCCGCCATAATGTGCAAAAACTGCTGTATGACATTTACATACAGCAGTTAAAATTATTCATTATAAACATGCAACGATTAACTAAAATACTATATTTTTACCAGAATAAGAGAATGGGCTACAAACTCCAATGGCAATTAAAAATAAATCCAAAGATCTTTCAAAATAATATATAGCCTAATTTCTAACATTTGAAAAGGCGCTTATATGAAGGAATGCAATGTTCCTTGTTAAATTGCAGCTAGCAATGTTCCGCTCCTGTGCTCCTCCCCTTAGAATGCCACCTCCCCCTCCTGTTGCGATCTGATCATCTCATTGGCTGATGCGTCATGATGGACAGCCAGAACAGCCACTCGAAGCCTCCTAAGTCACCCGGAGGCAGGGAGAGTCCTGGCCAATGGGAGCAGGAGCAGGGGCCGGTTGGTGGAGATCAGAGGAGGGGCAGAAGAGGGGCGGAGCCAGGCTGGGGGCATGAGCAGGAGGGGTGGGTCTTCCGAGCTGAGACTGGAGGAGAAAGCATGGCAGAGAGCTACAGCTGATGTCAGTGGTCCACAAATCGAAGCGTGTAATTGAATCTATAAACTAATAATTATACAAGGATTTCTATGGGTGAAAATCCATGGAAAACGAATTGATTGTGGGGATATAAAGACATTCTGCGTTTGTTTAGTTATGTCAGGGACAGCATACAATAAACAATAACCTCCGTAGAGAAAGCTTTTTACCAGGTTAAAGCTCTAGAGCTAATTTCAATCCGTAGTCCCTGGCAGGTTGATCTTATAGTACATCAAAAATAACAAACATTCAAGGTTTTAGTTTACATTTGGCCAAGTCTTCACACGGTCAATTCGTTAAAACCTCACATTACATTATTGTAATGTATTGCACACTTCTTGTTAAAGCACCTTGTTAAGCCCTGTTTTTAATAGAAACAGATCAATACTTTGAAATGTTGTGTATCATACCAAAGGTTGTCAAAAAATAATTTTTCCCCTTTTTAATTTGATGACAAATGTCTGGTCAATTCCAGAGTATCACTCGATTTACAACATGTCACTGATGTTGTATTACAAACGTGTCATCCAAAGCAGAGGCTTGTAAAACATTTTCCAATCACTTAATTACAAAAATGTACATCATGCTGTGGAGAAGGCAGGGGCGTCTGTGCAGGTGCATCCTGATGTCAGACTGTGGGTCGTCAGGAGTGTTAACGTGCAGCTCCAGTCCACTCTTCAGCAGCTTCATAGAATCTACTCAATCTGTCAATGACCCAGTCAGTACACACCGGGTGTCGTTTACAACAAATGTGCAGATGTTGAACCATTCAGTTGCTAGAGTAAATCCAGTACATGAATTCTGCCTCATGCTTTGTAAAACTCTCATATGGCATGCTCTAGGGCTGGGCAATAAATCAAATTTAGGCAATGAATCGGCTTTTGAAAAAAACTGAATTTGTGAAACATTTGAAAATTGTGAAATCGAATGAAGGATATTGTGCGTTCTAATATGTATTGGGGGAAACAAATTAAACATAGTTTTGAAACTTGAATATTGAGCGGAAAGATCAAAAAATTTTAAGGGCAAAGTCTGTCTTCAGTGATTTTTAATGTAACCGTCCAAAGCAGGATATAAAATCGAGATTTTACTTTTTTGCCATATCGGCCAGCCCAAACGTGCTCTACAACTGTACAGAGTGAGTTTACATTTGTGAATTGAAGCAGTCTATTTTGATGATTCTGAAAGTCAATTTGAAGCATTTGAAAGTGGTCACCTGACACATCACAAATCTGTGAAAAACTCCCTCAAAGTTCACAATACTAATTTAAAGAATAGTCTCCTCCCTCTGTCAACCTTGGATACTTGTGCGAGAAGCTACTAACATTCTTACACTGTTTCATTGAGTGTAAGATGAAACGGTGTAAGAATGTTAGTAGTGAAACTTCAATCTAACTTATTTCATTGAAACAATACCATATCTCTACAACTCTTTTTGTGACCTATCACTTTTGTGTCCTGGACCTGTTCCTCCTAAAAAGGAATACTGTACTTATTGTAGTAGAGCTGCACAATGTATAGAAACAATAGTGCGAGTGCAATATCCATATTGACGTGACGTGCAATAACGTGTAAAAGCATTTCTTTCACAGATTCAGAAGTACGATATTTATGCACACCCTGAATGTATTGCTTTCTCATTGACTAGAGCGAGCACAAATTCGCGTGAACAATATCTCAGTGAAAATGAAAGCTGTGAAAAGGTGTTCCCTTTAAAACTCTAGTCGATGGAACTTTGCTTCTCGCTTCAGAAGAGACGAAAGTAATCTCTGCAAAGAGTACTTGCTAAAAGGATCCTTAATTAGGGATGCACAGATACTAGACTGGCACACAGTCAATACCATAGGCTTGTACTCATACCATAGAACCTGATCCTGGCAATGGATAACCACTTTTTAAATCTCATTAGTGTTACAACAGACAAATGTGTGGCACGTGTTGCCATGGTGAGCTCCCAAAGTCTGCAACTAGAAAGCGTGCTAGCGGCCAACTGCAAGCAAGCTGGAGACAAACGGGCGTGGAATATAATAGTGGTTCTTACTGTTGACTGTTAAACAATTGCTAAAATTGCTTTGTTTTATTATTAAAGCTTTTTCTTATCGTTTAAGAGAAATATAACATTTTAAATTTCAGTTAATTAGTTTTTTATGAATTCCCAGGCATGATACAATGCAGTAATGTTTGCAGTAGTTGTATCGGTAAGTACTCAAATTGAGGTACTCGTATAGGTTTTTAAAAGTGGTATTGGTGCATCCCTGTCCTTAACGATAAAAAGGTCTCACTCAGAAATGTTAACCAAATTAAAATGTTTTCTACCAATGAAAACTTTTAGCGTGTATGACCTTTATATACACTTGTGAATGAAATTACAATTCTTCTCCCTTCGATGCAAAGAAGGGTGCGCTACCACTTTTTTTCAAATGCATTGTGGTTATTTATTATTTTAATCCAGAGTGCTTTTAATGTTTTAAGGTTTTTTCATTACTTGTGATTTTATTCTGTTTTTAATGTATTGTTTGTATATGTAGATTTTGATGTTTCTGATTTGTCTTATGTGGGTTGTGAGGCGCTTGGAGTGGCCTTGTGTTGGAAAGGCGCCATACAAATAAAGTTGATTGATTGATAGTCTATATTTTAAGTAGGACATGAATAAGGCTGCAATGGCTCTTCATTATTGCAGATAAAACTGCGACTATAACAGTCGATGAGGTTTTTCTCCAGGAGGTGGCTAGAACAGTTCCCTGCACGGCTCCTGTTAAGGTTCTGGGGTCAACACTGAGGAATATAACGGATAGTATTTTCCTTCCCAGACCTGAACATGGTGAAAGGGCTGTGTAGCAGTGCATCATGGGTAAATGGCCTTTGTTTTGACCCAATTTACTGTTTGGCCGCCTTAGCAATATAATGATGAATTGCCTCTGAGCTACAACATTTCAATTATATTTCCTGGGGATAGACATTACAAAAGGGTTAAATATAAACGTGAACCTGATATGTGTGGCAAAATGGAAAGGAAGTTGTTTTGAAGCTAGGCAGTGTCTGAGTAACCCGTGTCTTGTCTGCAGGCCCTGGACAGCATGCTGGCGGAGTACGGCACCGTGGAGAGCTGCGAACAAGGTGAGAACGTCCACATGTGGCTGAGGGTTTAACTCTACAATATTTGTCCTGCAGCATTCTTGGAGTGGAACTGACATGGACATGTTGACGTTTGCATATTCTGTCCCCTTTTTCTTGTTCTGAGGTAACACGGCCACATGACATGGGTTTTCTGAGGCAGATGTTTTGTAAAGCACTTCAGCTTGTCAAAGCATTTATTTTGGTATTCAAACCCCACAACCTGTATATAATTTTAAAAGCTTATTTTCTCATCTACATAAAGATACAAGTGCAGGCAATACCAGACTTGACATTAAAAAGATATAAATCATACAAAGAATTCTCATAGCATTTCTTACCTTTGGACTTGGTAATCCATGCTTGCTGTGGGTCATTAATTTCGTACATGTCCATGGAAAATCCAATATCCACTTGTGATTTCCAAAATGGGCCAGTATGGAGATATAATCCAGGACTGTTATTTTTTTATTTTATTTCTTTAATGGAAATGAAACTTCAGACATTACACACTTCCCACTCTGCTAAAACTATGATTGATTTGGCCCTAAACTAATCCTATGTTCTTGTTTCTCTTCTCTTAACTAAACAATTAGACCTTGAGGCGATCCATGCAGTAGTTTTTATACCTCGTAGCTGATATAGGGGTAGCAACGTTTGACGGTTCCACACATATTGCTCTGACGTTGTAGACCTAATAGATCTAAACGGGCTATGATCGCTTTCAAACAAGGAGTGGCACTTTGCATTGCATCTGAAACGGACCTGGAATGAGGCAAAACACACAAGAAAAGCAGGTTTTACGTGGCATGTGGTTACACTATTATAGATAGATAGATACAAACATTGAAAAACTAAAGTCATAATCTAATGATCATACAGGAAGTAGCTATAAGTACCTAAACATCTTATGGTGATGGATAGAAACTAAACGATGGTACACTTGGACGATACAATGAGTAGCTAGAAGAAAGTTGGGTTTTTAAGTCTGTTTCTAATCCGCTTAACCCTCTAGGCGCCACGGTCGACTTAAGTCTACAAGCTGTGGTACTGTTTAAAACGGCTGAGTGTGTCCAACAGTGTCAAAATTCATACTCCCTGCCACTAGTTGGCAGACATGTCAGACTACCTACCCCACTGGCCCCAAAAAACATCATGCTCCCATACAAAATATTTGAGGAAGACCGCGTTGAATAAGAGCGGAAATCATAGCAAAGCAGTGCAGCTGCGAGGCAGCCTGCGAGTGTTATACTGTACCAAACACTAACTTCAGACACTTTACATAGTCTGCAGTGGGAACAGTGTTTCTCAGTTCAGGGCAGTCATTGGGAGGTTCAAAGACGGGTTAGATTTGCGGATAACAAGCCTGGAACCTCCAGCCTCCGCTGAAATCTCCACTAAAGTCTCCGATAAAAGTGCCTCCCACAGATGTATTTTTGTGCCTCCCGTAATCACCGGGACAGCAACGTGTTGGAGAAGCCTTTGTCATGTGTTTGTTAGACGAGAGAGGGCAGGGGAGACCGCAGCAGGCCGAGTCGCGGTGACATTCAGGCGCGTGCTTCACCTGGAGGCGCGCGTCTGGGCAGACTGCTCAAAGCAGCAGCATGATTTGTATTTTTTACTATTTCCCTGAACATTTACAATGCTACAGTGTGTGTGTTCTGTATGTGCTCATGTCCTAGTGATGAATATGTCTGTTTAGAAATTGTGGATTATAGAATTTTCATACAATATTTTTATTTTTCTAACGCCAGATGTCATAATATGCTAATTAGATGCAGGGGTTTATTATCTACATACATTTTTGACCATCCTTAATATTGTTCTAATTCACAGAAAGCCTTTATCTCTTATCACTTCTAAGTTCTAGCCTTATGAAATTAAGATGTCAAAATCGAGCGTTTTAGAAAAAAACCTCTGGCACATTTTCTGAATGTGCTGAACAGTAGTTTCATAAATGTCCAGCAGGTGTGTATGTGTCACTGACGAGCTGTTGTGTCCCACAGTGAACACTGATACGGAGACGGCAGTAGTGAACGTGCGATACTCAACCAGAGACCAGGCCCGGCTGTAAGTAAAATACTAAAATACTACAGTACAACTGTAATGGCAGACATACCAGAATTGGTACCGCACTACTCGGACCAGAGACCAAATCAGTCTTCCTCAGGATTGGACCCGTGGTCTAACAGTCTGATTGTATATTTGTGAAGCAGAGATGAAGAGCTGCAACTGCACCGCAGTCTTCAGACTCTTAAGATTACTAGAGAGTATTAACTTGCAGTAATTCTTCCAACAGCTCCAATTGGTGGTAGTTTGTACAACAAAAGGTTCTTTCCATATCTGTGAAATGCATTCTAAACAATTAAATGAAAAATGTTTCAAAGGAAGTCATCATGGATGATATTGTCTGAAGGGAGGAAACTGGTGGCAATATAAGCCTGGGATTATGAAAGCATGCATGGCTCTAGCCCAAGGTGGATGAGCCTGTCACCCCCTGCTGGCCTCTTATGGAGCCTGCAGGCTTAGTAGTCACTTTTGGACAAGAGGACTAGATGTTAAAGGATTGGGGTCACTGTATTTAGTGGCAATTTATTGGGCCCGAGCCCCGAACAGGGAAAGGGTCTATTGTTTTTGCACGAGAGATGTCAAATTCTGCACTTTGAGCCTTAATTTGACCCCCTGAACATGCATGAAAAGTTGTTAAATTTTGCACAAAAATCAGACCTGATATTTTGGTGATAATTTGTATGGGACTCAAAAAATGCCAGAACAGCGCCACCTACAACAGCCAAAATATTACCCCTATGGGAGTTTTCGGAGGTCAAGTTTGTCGTAGATCCGTGAAATTTGGTACACATTTTTTATTTTTTATTATGGCTAAAGGGGCGTTCACACCGGACTTAACTTCGGCGTCAAAAGCGTCAGGTTTCCATTGAAAGTGAATGGTGAAGCGCGTCAGGTGAAGCGCGTCAGGTGAAGCCGAGAGCCCCGGCGTCACTTGACGCGCGTCAAAAGCTTCAAGAGTCGCGCGTACTACGCGCTCACTTGAAGCTTTTGACGCGCGAAACGCTCGCGTATCACAACAATCCCTTTGACGCCGAAGTTGAGCAAAGCTGAGCTTTTGAAGCTTTGACGCGGGCTTCAACCAATCAGGAGACGAGGAGCAGCAGCAGCAGAGGGTCTGTCTCTGTCATGAAGAGAAGTCATGTATCTGCTGCTGCTGTTTTATTGTCATTATTGTTATTAGTAATATTATTTGTATGAGTAGTAACGTTCTGAGTAACAAAAATCATTGTACACATGCTGTGTAGTAAACGTAGTTTATTTAATATAAGAACAGGCTGACGATGAGCAAGGCAGCTCCGGGCGGGCGAGAGCCGATGAGAGGCAGGAGCGAGGCAGGAGCGAGGCAGGAGCGAGGCAGGAGCGAGGCAGGAGCGAGGCAGGAGCGAGGCAGGAGCGAGGCAGGAGCGAGGCAGGAGCGAGGCAGGAGCGAGGCAGGAGCGAGGCAGGAGCGAGGCAGGAGCGAGGCAGGAGCGAGGCAGGAGCGAGGCAGGAGCAGAGGCGAGCTCCGGGGTTTGAGAACTCAGACTGGGCAAGTGAAATGCGGAAGTGCCGCTGAAAGCGAAACTCCTCCGTACGCAGCTCCTGGAGTAAATGACGGAACTCTGCAAACACTGCAGCCTCTCAAGTCTGTGGTGAACCCAGAACATGTTTTGTTGAAGCCCTACAACAACGTTATTTTGCTTTATATACCAAATAAAGGCTCGCTGCTCATTGAAAAATCCACCGCTGTCCTGACTACAGGCAACAGAGAAGCTCCTCCCACCGGCGTCAGGCGCGTCACTCGCGTCAAAAGCTTCAAGCACCAAAATGACAAAACTATCCCGGCGTCAGTTGAAGCGCGTCAAAAGCTTTTTGAAGCTTTTGGTCTGAACGCGCCTTAAGCCCTGTGACAAACAGGGAGCCCATAAATTTCACTGCAAAATAGAAAAATGAACAGCAAAAGTTTTCATACATGTCGGTTGGAAAGCGACTCCTCCTCGGCCGTTTCACCGATTCGCCTCAAAATCGCTCCACAGCATCTCAACACACGTACCTTCAAAATGACCTCAGGGAATTTTGATCAGTGAAACAGTGTTTGAGCAGCAGAGCGGCAAAATGTGACCTTTTTTTTGGCAGTTTTTTACAACATAAAATTTGCTCCCGTTTGCATATACAGAGTCTGATTTGCACAAAACTTTAATACATTGTTCAGCTCTAGGGTCTAGGTCATTTGAAAGTGAAATAAATTAACTTGGGTCATTAGCGCCCCCTAGAGATGGGGTCAAAGTTTAGTATGGGAGCGTTTCGAGGTCAAGTTTGCTGTAGAGGCATGAAATTTGGTACACATGTTCCTCATCTCAAGACATGAAAAAAGTCATTATGGCCCCGCCCCCTGACAAACAGGAAGCCCATAAATTTCACTTCAAAATGGACAAATGAAACATGATCCTTTTCACACGTGTCGGTTGGAAAGCAACTCTTCCTCGGCCTTTTCACCGATTTGCCTCAATCGCTCCACATCGTCTAAACACATGTACCATCATTTTGATTTCACTTTTGATCAGTAAAATATTTGAGCAGCGGAGCGCCAAAACATGGTGTATTTGTCAGTTTTTGACAATAGAAAAATTGCTTCCGTTTGCACAAACAAAGTCTGATTTGCACAAAACTTGAATCCATGGTTCAACTCCTGGGTCTAGGTCATTTGAAAGTAAAACAATTGAAATTGGCTCATTAGCGCCACCTACAACAGCCAATTTATAAACGCAGATGGGAGGGGTTTGAGGTCAAAATTGTTGTAGAGCCATGTACTGTGGTACACATGTTCCTCAAGACATGAGATATTATGGCCACGCCCTCTGACAAACCGGAAGCCCATAAATTCCATTGCAAAATGGAAAAATGCAAAGCAATCATTTTCACACAAAGCGGCGACTCCTCGGCCGTTTCACCGATTGGCCTCAAAATTGCGCCAAATTATCTCAACACCATCAAAATGACTTCAGGGAATTTTGATCAGTGAAAAGTGGTTTAAGCAGCCGAGCGGCAAAATGTGAGGTTGTTTTTGACATTAATTTTTTCCCGTTTGCACATACAAAGTCTGATTTGCACAACTTTAATCCATTGTTCAACTCTAGGGTTTAGGTCAGGTGAAAGTGAAATATTTTAATTTGGCCAATTAGCGCCCCCTACAGACTGAGGAAAAGTTTTACATGGGGAGCCAAACCAGCTCTACTTATCATATTCATTACAATTTGACTAACATTCTTGTATGGCTACGGGATCAAATAATCACACAGCGGCGCCACCTCCTTTGGGCGGTGCTGCGTGGTACGGTGTGGTGCGGCGTAGTACGGGGCGTTGTGGATTTGCGCAGTGCGGCGAGGGCCGTTTGACGCCGCTTGCGGCTTTAATTTAACACTTATTCTTGTGAAAAGACATTTTTTGATTGTGTGTTTGTGTTCATGTGCATGCAGGGCACTTGAGAAGCTCAACTGTGCCATGACAGAGAACTGCTCGCTCAAAGTGTCCTACATTCCTGATGAGAATGCTCCTGAGGGCCCGCGCAGGAGAAGCTTCAACTCCAGGGGCCCGCCTCGCACAGGCTCCCCCAGCATGGGCCCCCGGCCTCGGGGCCATGCAGACATGCCCCTCCGAATGTCCGTCCCCATGCAGTTTGTAGGAGCCATAATTGGTAAAGAGGGCGGCACCATTCGCAACATCACCAAGCAGACTCACTCAAAGTAGGTTTCTATAAAGAGATTGACGGAAGGCCCAGAGACTAATGTAGGACCTGGTGTTTGTGTCAGGATCGACATCCACAGAAAAGAGAATGCTGGAGCCGCAGAAAAGCCCATCACCATCCACTCCACCCCCGAGGGCTGCACCAGCGCCTGCCAGATCATCATGGACATCATGCGCAAAGAGGCAGTCGACACAAAGTTGTAAGTTCGACCCATCTGTACAGAATGAAGTAGGAGTAGGTCTGTCTGTCTGTCTGGTATGTATTGTATGTATTGTATGTATACTAAGATGACAAAAGTGGTGACTGTCTCTATCGCCTGCAGTAACGAGGACGTCCCGCTGAAGATCCTTGTCCACAATAACTTTGTGGGGCGACTGATCGGGAAGGAGGGGCGCAACCTGAAGAAGATTGAGCAGGACACGGGCACGCAGATCAGCATCTCCTCGTGAGTGTGCCCCCATGAGGCGGGCCGTTGCATTTACTCACTGTACTGCCCAGTTCAGGCAAATATTGAAACCCATATTTAACAAAATGTTCTCAAAATACCTTCATGGTGTAAATGGGTTAAAGCAACACAATGGCCACAGATGCAAAAAGTGTTATTTTTGTAAAATAATAAAAATTCTTGAACTGAATTGGCTTAGCTGAAATGAGTGAGCGGGTTGGTCCTCTACAATATCTTTTAAACATTTTGAACAAGTCGTGCATGCTTTTATTTCGTCACGCCTGGACTACTGTAATGCTCTTTATACAGGCATTACCCAAAATGCACTCTCACGCTTACAGTTAGTCCAGAACTCCGCTGCACGACTTATTACTGGAGCTAAAAAGCGTGACCATATTTCACCAATCCTCGCATCTTTGCACTGGCTTCCAGTCAAATTTAGAATTGATTTTAAGGTTTTGTTGTTTGTTTTTAAAGCGTTAAACGGACTGGCCCCTCAGTACGTCACAGACCTCATTGAAGTCTACACCCCAACGCGCGCTCTGAGGTCTAAGGTCCAGCTCGTGGTTCTTAAGACGAAACGTAAAACTCGAGGGGACAGAGCGTTCTCCGTCATCGGCCCTAAGCTGTGGAACGCTCTGCCCCTCCACGTCCGAACAGCCACAACATTGGAGTGTTTTAAATCTCGTCTTAAAACCCACTTTTATTCTCTGGCTTTTAACACCGCGTGAGTTGTGTGGTCCCTGTGTCTTTTTAATTTTTGTTTTGTGTTTTATGATTTTTATTAATTTTATAAATTGACTATTTATTTATTTTTTATTCTATTTTTTGTGTACTTTTTTGTGCAGCACTTTGGAACTGTTCTGTTGTTTAAATGTGCTATAGAAATAAAGTGGATTGGATTGGATACAATAGTGCAGTGGGTTCTAGACTAAGGTTCATGTACAGAGGGTGCAGACCCTCAGTCTGAACCCTTAGGACATGTGGATAATCTAATGTTTCCCATTAGTTACCAGGACCTGACCATGTGTAATCCTGAGAGGGTGGTCACCATCATGGGCAGCATCGAGAACGTCATCAAGGCCCAGGAAGAGATCATGAAAAAAGTGCTGGAGTCCCATGACAGTGACCGCGCCGCCATGAGTGTAAGTGCACCTCCACCATGTGTTAAGGAGCGCTTCCTCGTAACGGACCAAATGGTTCTTTGCTTTGTAAACATCCTGTGTCCAAAGCAAACTGCTCTGACCGCTGAAAGGCTGTGATTTTCACACAGGCTCAACTCGCCAGCTCATTTAATTGTAATTGAATGTAACTAAACCTACTTAAGTGTATTTATTTAATCACAATGATCAAAATAAGTGTCATAAACTACAAATTTCAAACAAAGTATGGCTTTTCCCTGTGCGCTAGATTGCATCTGCTTACCTTGTGTCTGTAGTATAGTTTCCGTGGTTACATGCAGTGTAAATGGACTGTTTTTATTTTTACACAGCGCACAAGTTTACATGAGTCTGGTTGTATCTATCGTAATTTCCGGAATGTAAGCCGCTACTGAACCCTGTGGGTTATACAGTCGGGCGGCCGATATGTGTAATTTATATTGTGGTAGTTGAGCTGTTGTCAGAGCAGATTTTATGGACTTATCTACTGTGCACATTATTGTCCAGAGAGTAACTCAGTTTTATGTGAAATCTGAAGATTCTAGGTTTTGAAACGCTGGACTGCCTACTTTCATAAGCAAAAAGAAGTTTGTTTGTAGCTCATTTCGTTAACGACAATTTAGTTTTCCTGTAATACCCAGTCAAATAGAGGGAAGTTAGACAGAAATCGCCAGTCTAAGACAAAAATCTGAGAAAATCAGCTGTTTGTGAAGACATACCATGCAGAAAAGTTATTTTAATACCATTTTGTTTAACTCCAATGTCTTATTGTACATGGGTTTCTTGAATATTTCAACAAACGTCAAAATGTTCATATTGAATGTAGAGCTCATGACAAATGATACCAGACGGAATGGCCAGTATTTATCCATTAGGTGGTGCGAAAACTAAGTCCCAGGTCTTCTGTCCTCAACCTCCCCATGATCTGTCAGCTCTAGGGACACCTTTACTGCTCAAACCGCCTCCAAATGAAGCCTGCTCCTGTCAGTTTTTCTCTGCAACTCTCATCACCTCCTGCACACCTTGCTCAGTGTGTAACCTTTGACCACACACCCACAGAGCACTGCTGCCATCTGCTGGCTCAATAAAACACTATCATACATGCCTGGGGTTTGGATTTAGACAGTGGACACAGACACAGAGGAAAATTGAGTAATCCGTAGGGCTGGGCTCTATGACGATAACGATATGTATCGCGATAGACATGTGTTTGATATCAATAGAAAATGGGGTCGTGTGGCATTCTGGCGGCATTCTGGCGGCATTCTGGCGGCATTCTCTCGACCTATCACAGCCGAGCATGAACCGCAAAACATTCTGGTAAATGCAAAAAAAAATAAACATTCCATAGATCTAGTGTGGCGTGGCAGTGGGCACGGCAACTCGATGCATGCGGCAAAAGCAAGAGAAGGACTTTTCCCTCTGGAAGCAAATGCGGCTATCAGAGAGCCGCAAAGTGGTCATGGGGCAAAAGTTCTCGTTACCCTGTGACTGTAAACAATGGCTGCTAACGTGTTAGCCCACATGACAAATGTATTAATTTAGGTTTTAGAAAAACAATAATTATTCATATCAAAAGTTATAGTATATCGTTTTCAGCCATATTGCCCAGCCTTAGTAATCCGTCATTTGCGTTTTTTACTGGTACGCACTACGATGTCTGTACGTTTTTAAAAACATAAATTTCCGCACTTTAAAAAGTAATATGTATGAACTTTAACATTTTAAAACCTGAACCTGCTTGGTCAGCACGTCTAACTGTGTGTGTTTTGTGTTGAAGCTACAGTCGACAATGATTCCAGGCCTGAACCTGAATTCCCTGGGTCTGTTCCCATCGGGGCCCCAGTGTGGGGGCCCCTCCATGCCCAGCATGCCCCTAGGGGCCCACGGAGGACACTCCTCATACGGAGTAAGTCAGTGTTGCATGTGCTGATCTGAGCGTTCACAACATTTTCATCTCAACGCAACATTGGTTCAAAATTAGTTAATTTATTTTGCATTGTTTACATGGTTACAAAAGGTATGTAGGTTTCCTCCGGGTACTCCGGTTTCCCCTACCACTAAAACATACACACTAGGTTAAATCCTCCAGCTCTGGTAGTCCTGACCAAGCTGAGCATCAGCCAACGTAAGCCTTAGTGGCATCAGGATGGGTCAAATGCAGAGGATGAATTGACCTACGGGGATCAATAAAGTGCACCTTTACCTTTAAAAGCTCATAACCATTACCAGGATGAGGGACCCCCATATGAACTGTGTGGGAGGATGTGAATGTGGGATTGTGAATGTGGGATTGTGAATGTGAGATTGTTGGTTGACTAGACTCATTTACACTATTCTTAACAATTACTATTTGGTCAGCCTCTGCTCTGTAGTGAATGTTTGATTTATGCGGCAGGCCCATCCCGAGTCTGAGTGCGTCAATCTGTTCATCCCAGCCCAGGCCGTGGGGACGATGATCGGAAGGCAGGGCGCGCACATCAAGCAGCTGTCGCACTTCGCCGGAGCCTCCATCAAAGTGAGACACCCTGCTCCACCACTGTAGCTGCTTTGTCTTGTTGGTCGGATTCTTAACCGATCCAACCCTAATCTATTATCTCAGGAAAACCACCACATTTAATGTAATCTTAAACTGTAGTACAACGCTCAGTCCAGCTGGTGGTGCTAATACTAACTTTAGCGATTACCTCGTTGTCAAGAGTTAAGTTTACATTTCTCTCACTCTTTACATTCTGCAACTGTGCGCTAACAGCTCGGGCACGGATCGCGTTGTTTAGGGAAAGGCACATCTCACACTCATTGCTCTGATGCAAAGTGCAGCAGCTCAGTGGATAGAATGTGTGTGCACCTAAAGCCCCACTTTAACCGGGCTTTAGGCTGTGCTTGTGACCGCAGCCTTAATCAAATGAAACGGTTGTATTGCTGTCAGCCCATGAGACAGAGCTGTCCAGTTCAGAGACTCTAGGTCCCTCCATGAACACTGCGTGCAACGGTACAAAACCAACAGTTTGCAGATAATGACACCTGTGAGCACTATCCTCCTACTTTACAAAGAGCTCTTAATGACTCCACCGATGTCATTGAAGCTCAGCAATGGAATGAGATTATTTTTCCAGAACATTTCCTTGTTTAACAGGCCAGGGGTACAAGCCATTTCACATGGAACCTAAGAGACCCTAGGGTAGGCGGAGTTAGAGTATTGAGACTGGACTTTGAGCCCGAGCACTTCATTCTGCATGTGCAGAGAAACAGGGAGGTTTCAAAGTGCTGCACCCTGAGTGTCCTGCTCTGCTCCACAGATTGCTCCTGCGGAAGAGAAGGAGAGTCAGCTCCGCAACATGATCATCGTGGGACCTCCAGAGGCGCAGTTTAAGGTCTGCCACAGTCACATCTTATAGACACAACACCACACGCACACACATACTCACGCCCTACTGTCCTCCTCAGGCTCAGTGCAGGATCTTCAGTAAGCTGAAGGAGGAGAACTTCTTTGGGCCGAAAGAGGAGGTAAAGCTGGAGGCGCAGATCAAAGTGCCGTCATTCGCCGCTGGCCGTGTCATTGGGAAGGGCGGGAAAACGGTAAGATCCTGAGTGGATACACTTCCCTCACAGCAGGCAACTTAGTGTGTGCATGTGTTTGTGTGTGTAGGTGACGGAGCTGCAAAACCTGTCGTGTGCAGAGGTGGTGGTGCCGCGGGACCAGACCCCCGACGAGAACGACGAGGTGGTGGTGAAGATCACAGGACACTTTTTTGCCTGTCAGGTGCGTGTGTGTCTGAGCGGGGGTCGAAAGGGGGTCTCGAGGGTTGGAACAAATCTTCCAATTAATTTCCAAATCTGAATTGAAAGATTTCAAATATTTTCTTGTAGGTGATGGCATATTTTCTAGTGTTTCAAGGATTTTAGATTTATAAGGAAGATTCAGAATTTGTCTGGATTTGTTTTTATTTCATGGTTGAGCCCAGGCTTTTTCAGGACTTGTAGGACATTGCTAATTTCTATACACATTTTGCTTTAAGATAGGCTATTAACATTGCCATTGGGTGAAAACTTCTTGTGTAATTCACAAAAAAAGATGAATAATTATTGAGTGTACTAGTTCAAATTTGTGATGGATTAAACATTCATGGTTCTTTTCATTCTAGTTTTCTCCTGGGTGCAGGAAAGATTTTTAGTGAGATTAAATAATTTGATGGTGGCTTGTGTGGCAGGACGTTAAGATTGTAATGTCAGGACAATGTCCAGAGTGTGGTGACTAATGTGAAAGGCTTACTCAACATTCCTGTGCCACATGTCGCTCTTCATGTTTCAGTCTGTGGTGTATCACACACATTATCACTAATTATTAACACTTGAGAAATTATAGCCATTTCTTGCATACGGGTGAGGTCACGTCACTTGAAACGGTGGATCTGTGCTGCTCTCTGCTCCTGCCTTTTTACTCTGTGGCATTCATACACATTAATGATGTTTTAAAGAAAAGCATGAGACATTTTAACATGAGTTTCTAAATCTAGTTTTTAAATGTATAAATTGGCATAACTGGATTTGAAATTAAATTGGCAAAGTGCTTTTTGGTTTCTCAAATCAGGGCAAGTGTTTACAACGTTAAGTTTTCAATCGAGTGGAATTTATAATTGTTTTCGGGATTGAGAAGTACGCTGGTGTGCAATCTAATCGTGACGCCGCCTCCACGACCTGTAGCTCTGGCTTTTTGGTAGTAAACATGAGTCAGAGGAGTGCACTCATTCTGTCTGTTTGTTGGAGCCATGTCTCTGAGAGTGCAGGGTTAGGGTTAATGCAAGTTGTCTGTCTTTAATTGTGTGTGTTTTGTGTGTGTGCAGCTCGCCCAGAGGAAGATCCAGGAGATTCTGGCTCAGGTGCGTCGGCAGCAGCAGCAGGTGAAGCCCCCACCCAGCCCCCAGGGCCACATGCCCCGCAGAAAGTGAGAGGAGCCCCTGCTGCCCAGGCTCTTACTGAACTATGGCTCTGTGCCAAGGCCCCTTGGAGCCGCCCCACTGGCCCCCGCGGGGCCTCTTCAGTTGGACACAAACTGGGACAATGGTCTTCACCTGGTGTGGACCTGGCAGACGTTTCCTTTTAGTTGTCCTTTGGTCGGTTGTTGAAGCTTGGTGCTCACTTTTCTAAGGCATTGCGATGGGGTTAGTTTGGGGGAGTTTCAGGACAGGGCTATTGGGCCTTGCTCGTGATGATGGGGCATTTTATAAATTCGGATGCATTTTATAGATAGACCTACATATATATATATATATAGATATAAATATATATATATTTTGAGGTGAGGGCAGCGTACTGACTGACACTCGGAAGCTGAACTGCTGCTGCCCACAAAAGCAAATGAATATGCATTTTACAGAACTACCTCAGGCTCGAGTACCTCAGAGAAAATTATTCTATATATGAAAATAGTTCCTTTCTTTTTATTTTGCTTTTGTGGTATTTTGTATACTTTATAAAGCTGAGTCTTTATGAGTGAGTTTTATTTTTTTAAGAAAAATTGTAAGGAGGTCCGCTGCCTGGAGCTCAGAACGACCTCATCCGAAACACATGCAGATCACTCGCGCGCAATGCCATTTTATTTGTTATATTTGTCATGTTGATATTTTAGATTGAGCACAGGGCTCATCTCTACACTTTACTTTACTCTGACTTTGAAATAATCATGTCAGAGGGTTTTTCCAAGTGAAATTGTTACTTTAATTCAACTTCCACATGTATTAAGTGTAAAGGGTGCAAATTACTTGAGCACCATGGAGTGGGTTCCATTAAATGAATTCTGCTTTAGAAATGGTAACTAAAGTGCACAACAGAATACCTGGCATTAAACACTGTCAATGCATTTAAAAAGATGCCAAAGTTATCTGCCATTGGAACAAAAATAATTTTCTTTTAGGGTTTGGTTGATTTTTTTTCACTTTAAAACAAGAACATTTAATGATCTGCAGGTTTTTTTTACATGTAAAGAAATGTTTCTTATTCACCTTATTTGAACTATCCTAAATTTTGTTTTTTAAATCTCAAGCCAATAACAAATGTACTCTGCAAAAACTAAAGTGAGCCACAAATTGCAGACGGCACTCATTGGAAGTACAGCTGCCTTAGTTTTTGCAGTGATATTTCATTTGGTGATGGGATGTACTGTTTGTGTTCTCCTCTTGTGTCCTCGCGCCACAGTAGAAGACGCTCTACCTCAGCGCGCCCTACCTCACGTTGTGCCACCAGGGGGCGCTCTTCGCAGGGGCACTAGTCCTACACTGCAAAACAAGCCGTTTGGGGGTAGTTTGAACTCGATTGGACAGTTTGCATTATCCACTAAAAATTTAAAAAGTTTGATTTCAATTGGAATGTTATTTTTTAAAGTGGATTATTTTGTGTCAATCCTCCTAGCCTTAAGTAAACCATTTGATAACTCCTCAGTCTTATTCCACCTCTACTTTGGCTTTCAAGACTTCAGATATCTTAAATACACTGATCTGTTAAACTACTCCATTTCTTTTTTCATTTTAATCTTTTGATTATAAAATTGTTTGCAGTGTAGTTTCCCCTCCACAAAAGCTAATGTGATCTACCTCTTTAAGACATTTGAAACTGAGGCATTTTTCTATTGGTTAGAATTTAGCCGTAATTCCCCCACATATGAAAAACGTTTAGGAATCATGTGAGAAATCTTGTTTTGCTGGTTGTAAATCCTCAATGAGAAATTATGTTAGGAAAATTGGAATTTCCTTTTCATTCTGCTTTTTATTTTTAGTGGTGTGGCTTCTGTGTGTTTGATTTTCAACAAAGTGGTGAAAAAGGACAAATGGCGTGTTTTTGTTTTCTTCTGCATTACTCTGTAATGAATGAGCGGAGCGCGGGCTTGAGTTTTGATTTGAGCCGGTCACTGGGACTGCAGCCTGGTGCTCACAGCTCACACTTGTCAAATGCCTCTAAATGAATAAATCATGATTCAAGGACTGCTCTTGTGTTTTTTCTTTCAGAAATATTGCGGTGAGTGATGTATGAAAGGGTACTTTATTTGTACTGAGATTTCAATATTCCTAATATACCTTTTTATGAGATTTTTTAAAATTTGCCGTTTCACCCTTTGAATTTTGTCTTTTCACTTTTCTGTTGCATGTTTAGATGAGCTTTTTCAGAGCGACTGTATCCACCCTCAATCAGCTCAGCCTTGCAAGTTCTTTGGGCTCACAAGGCTAAACACCTGTGCACAGCTTTACTCCGCCCTATAGGAACATTTAAACTCTAAGGGGGCTTAAAGCTGGGCGTGGTCTGGGCTGTGATTGACAGCTCGCTTGTCACACAAAAAGACCGTCATTGCTGTTTAAAGAATTAGTTTACACACTAGAAATTCTCATTCCACCCTTGTTTGCACACATAATTGTAGAGCTACAAACCAGAACCTAAGCCACAGACTTCTCAGCAGCAGTGGCTGTCAATTTCATTTTAAACCACTAAATATCACCAGAATACTTGAACTTGCCACTGAGGCGTTTGTGCATGGATATATAATAAAGCGTGTGCGAGACTGATGGGTTTATACCACTGGCGGCGAGAGACGTCACACATACCAACTGGCATCACTCCAGAACAGTGGAGAGGCCAGGCACAAAATTCAAATGTAGATCCACCAAAAAGGAAGACTGTTTTAGGCTCAAGTGAGATCTAAGTGATACTACCATGTCAAAAAGATACCAGGATATGTAGAGAGCAGTATGTTAAAAGAAAGTACTGCTCCCACTCCTTGACTCAGGTTGGCAGATATGCAGACAAATCTAGCTTGGACCATAATAGCTGAATGGACAAGAGTTTTGTTAACTGCAAATCTATAACAACACCTTTTTCACAAAGGCCCTGATAGAAATCCTTGTTTTATTCCTTTTGTCGTTAATGATTTGAGAATCATAAGACTTTTTTTAGTTCTGCGGCCTGTCATATTACTTTACCAGTGAGATCAGCTCGACGTGGTGACTTCTAGCAACCCAGATCACTTTCTGATTGGTTAAAGGGTGGAGGGCGGGACGTTGAAATGAAAACTAGATATGAGTTGTAAACCTAATTTTGAAAATCAAATATCCCGGCTGAACTATTATCAGTGAAAGTATTCAAAAAGAGCATGGTTTATTAGAGCCTTTTGAAAGATTTAGGAAATTTAATACAAATTGATACTTTAATAAAAGTCAGTGAGCACGTGATTCTTTGCCTAACAAAGCTTAAGTAAAGCTTTCACACAGGTGTTAATCAGGTTTTAGATTAAAATACTTGAATAGAACTGAAATGTTTAGTCATAAACATAATTCTAAATGTAGAAGGGTCAATATACTGTTTATCTGGATTGGTTGACTTCAATAATACTTAAACCTCTTCCTTTCACAGGTAGATTAAACAAGGGTGTTCAGGAGGATATACTGCTTAAAATATATTTGAAGCAATTTAGAGCTGATATGCAATTTTACAGATTTAAAAAATATTTGCTATAGCAATTGGCACCACAGAAATATAACTTATGCACATTTTTACTGAATTTAAAAATACTTTTATAACACTTCCAAGTGTTAAAATGTTAAGGCTTTTCTCTACATTTCATAAACATCGCTGGATTGTTCCATCCTGGATTGGATTGTACCATTGCAATAACAAGTTCAACATGTTTTTTCATCAAACTTTACTGTTAAACTCCTTCATAGAAATCACACTCAACACATCACTGCATTTCCATATTTTATAAGCAAAATAAATGTCTTCTACAGCTTCTTGTTGGCATGTGTAGCTCAGATGAAATATTGCTTCTATCAGCGCACAAAAATACGTTTATGAACAAGGCCATTAGTCATAAAAATTAGTCTTTGTCACAGTGTGTCCTGTTGAAGCAGAAACGTCCACGCTGTGCTTAATGCAGTATCAGATCACACGCTTTGCATAAAGGTAGGGCGTCCCAAACCAACTCTTTGGACTCATCCGAGAGGAGGTTAAAGGGAGCACATTCAGACACCTGTACCCTCCATTGCACACTCCAAACAGGACATGATCATACATAGAGCATCTAAAAAAAAACAGTCCCACATCCAGTACCTTTGCCTGCAATGACATAACACGTCTGGCCCCTGGACTCGTGCGGCGCCTAAAGAGCCTTTGAAGGGTAACGGGGCAGGGGCAGGGTCACACGACCTTCAAGAGGTCTGAGTTTAGTCACAATCTCAGACCCTTGTGCAGTAATACACTGCTCAAAAGAGGAACACAGACATCAGAACCTCATTAGGATCATTTGGACAAAATTCTTGAAAAAGTATTAAAGACAAAATAAAGTGCCTGAAGCAAGTCAAAATCTTCATCCCATTGATTCTCAGCCTGTTTTATCCATGTGAAACCCTTGATAAGACTGATCAAACTTCAGAGACCCGTCGAGTCTGGAGTACTCTTCACGTGTGTGACCGCCACGTACAGTGGTTCCTCGTTGATCAAGGTTATTACACTCTAAAAATAACACCAACATCTGCAAAGGAGCTGTATGTTTTAAGGATATGAAACCCCTCACACTTCTCTAGCCCCCTCAACTCGCAGCAATAGAAACTTGTTGGTTGTAGGTCCGAGTGCTGCTGCAGCTGTCTAAAGCCGTGCATACACTAACATACAGCTGGACTACAGGAAGATGTGGTAGTCCTCTGAACTCATCACCGCAGTCAACAAAAGCTTTCTTCTGACTGCGCTGACCCCTTGTGCTAGCCTCTGGTCAAATAGACCCGCCACAGTGATAAATGCTAAAAATGTTTTATGTAACTTAATCAGCCCTGAGTCAGCGGGGGTCTCAAACTCAATGTACCTGAGGGCTACAGGAGGTCGAGTCGGGGTGAGGCTGGGCTGCATTAAGGGTTTTGTTTATCACGTTTATGCGTGCATAATAAACGTCAGGGCAAACAAATCTATGCCCACCCAGAGAAAGACTCAAACACTAAACGTACACACATTATTGTACTTTGTTCAGTTTAGCTCCTGGATAAATATTTTAAACCGCTACATTTCAAACTGCATATTTTCATTCTTTAACTTTAATTGTTCTGATAAACATTTACTTTCTCAACTGACTTTTAATCGTGAAGGTTTTCGACCAAATAATTGCTTTGATAATATTTGTTGATATATTCTTTCTATATTATGAACAAAATGAATCCAGCTGTGATTGAAACAAAACTGGACCCAAAGGAATGAGGCTCTGTATTGTAAACTAGGTTTAATAAAGTTCACTTTGAACAATTGCTTATTGCATTCGGAGTTCAAGGTTCATAATATATATATTGTGGCTGTTTTGTTGATGACATTGGCCCTCATTTATGAAACTTGCGTACGGCCAAATCACGGTGTAAATGAGGTGTACGCAAAAAAGTAAACTTTTTGGTATTTATCAATCTGGAGGTGGGCGTGCAGTACGCACAAAATATACGGCAAGTCTGGAGGTGGTGTAAATGTGTACGCTTATCTCACCTTCATCACGACAAAAATAAATATATTCCCACTCTGAACTGCGTTTTCATTGAGCATCACATTTTGAAATTTGAATTTGCGCATCAGAAAAGTCTAATGGAAACACGCAAACTTTCACTAAATCACAGCTCATGATGAGGACCCTCTCCCGTTTCTTCATTTTTAAATCTGACTTGTATGCAAGTCATTTTCATTTGATATGTTTTTAAAATGTGAAGCGCTTTTTGATCCTGGACTGTGAAAGGCGCGATACAAATACACTTTACTTACTAACTTACGCTGCTGGATGTGTGACCCGTCTGTTGCTCTGTAAATCTTCGGCAGTTCTGCGCTGCGTAATTACGCACGGCTATTTGTTTTGCCTCATTCACATCTGGCAAAGCAATGTATTTTTTCATTAGTTTTGTGAAAGCCTCACACACACCCTAAACTGGCCTTCTCACTCCAAATGTCTCACTGCCCTGTCCACATGTAGCCAGTTTATAGAGGATGGCAACGCGCTCATCTCTTGGGCAGTGCGCAGCGGGTGCTACGAGAGGTTCCGCCGCACAATTCCTCAAATGTGGTGCGTGTATTGAAAAGTTTTGGATCCAGAGTTTCTCTGTGAAATCATCGACCACAACTTCCCAAAAGCTTCTCATCCTCTCTCAAGTGTACAGAGATCGCTCCATTGCATTTACAATAAGATGCGTCAGACGCTTCGTCCAGTTAATGATGAGAGCCACCACTGAGGCCAAGCTATTATTATTCATGATTTCGTTCATTTATTTACTTCCACAGTTCAAGAGATTTTTTTTCAATGTATCAAAAAAGTTTAGCAAATTTGTTCAATGGAAACGCAGCATAATATAGCATATATTTATTTTTAAACAAACACTTCCTAACAGTCTTCTTGGCCGACTTCCATACTGACCTATCATAAAGACGGGGCGTGAAACAGGCGTGACTTTCATATGTTGGTTTTCACCCGCTGCATTTATTACCAGCCGCAGCTCAGATCTGGGCGGATCTCACGTTCATAAATCCCACATTGGATCTTGGGTATGTTGAATGTACACCCAAAATGTACACCTTTTTCTGCGCAAGTTTCATAAATGAGAAAAAACGTTGATGTTCACAAGGGGAAACCTCTGCTTTAGACCCTAATTTAGTGTATTTTTCTTCTTTTAATCACTGTGGCTGATGAAAGCACAAGGGGTATATACAAGAGTAATATTTTTTTGGAGTTTTTTTACAGTGTATTTCTCATGCACTGCATGTAAAGAACAAAACGAACCACAAAGAAATCCTAAAAACAGGCCGCGAAAGGTCAATCTGTCAGCCCCTGGGCAGACAGTCCCTCAAGAGAGAGCGTCAGGAGCATAGTGAGTATCGAGTATACACAGCACATGGAGATCACACACTAAGGCTCGTCAAGACTTGTCTGAGGCCTGTTGCAGAAGTTGGATCAGCAGGTTTCCATGGGGACCGTTTCTGACCGACATGGGACAAAATGTTGGACTCTTATTTCATTGTGTTCTATACATTTCTTTATCTGATCCATCAAGAGTTTTGAGCAAATGATTTGATTGAGTTTTAGCTATTTAAGAGTTCCTTTTATTTCTTTGATCAGTGCATATTTTTAACATAATCGCAATAATGACCTGAATATATTTCATGAATGACTTCTATTTAGAACTAAACCAAATGGATGTGAGCCCACTTGATTTGACCCCACTAGTGTAAACAAAGTAAAGATGAGCCACAAATGTTTATGACACGCTGTTGATGCATAGGAGTGCCACAGATGAGACTCTGAAGGGGAGAGTGGGGGTCAGCAGAGCTACAGCGTCTTGAAGAGGTTGAAGAGGATCCAGAGGAGAGTGAAGTGATCCGAACATTGACCAACACATACATGTGCATGGAGGGCACTGGACACACATTTCATTATAGTCCTACAACAGTTCACGAATGCTGTTGAAGGGACTTCCATGTGAGTCTGCTGTTCACCAGAGCAGATGGTGAACAGCTCTTTATGTCTTTGCTTAAAGTCTTCATTCTTTCTAAAGAACCAAGTGCACATCAAATCATTGGGGCTCAACCCATTTCAGCATCTCTCAAATGATGTTTTGGACAATAAATATAAAGCTTGTATTTCTACAGATGTAGTGCTTTGGGGGAAACTGGGAGGGTGGCTGCTTACAATAAGTTATGTAATTAATTACCCTCTAAACGAGCTTTAAGCAGCAGGTCTACGTACAGCACTAAACCAAATAGTATGTGTAACATTATTTATGTTATTAATGTTATTATTCAGCATAGTGTGTGAGCCCCGTTCTCGCAGGGGACATCAGCGGTTGACATGTATGGCTGGATATAACATAATTTTTATTCATTTTGGGTAATTTTGGCATTTGATGTTTTACAACTAGAAAACATATTGACTATTTAGCAGAAAAATGCTGTCTTGGATCTCAGTGGGAATTTATTCATCTGGACATATTGGTTTGTTTGATCTGAAATAAAAAAGACCCACGACATGTTCTGGAATAGAAGTTTGTTATGGGTGTGTGTGTGTGCACATGCGTGCGTATGCGTGACTAGAGGTGGCTGGCCTGTGGCAGCAGCCGTGCCGTCCCGGCTGGGGCCTTGTGTCTGGAGACTGCGGCTGAGGCCGGTGAGGAGGAGTTGCTGGAGGAGGAGTTGGTCAGGTCCAGCTTTCCCTCCAGTTTGGACAGACGCCCAAGGATGTCATCCAGCAAGACTGCAATGGTCCGCTTCAGGTCAGCTGAGGACAGACAGACAGGTGAGTGCGGGACAAAGTTCATGCATCTACAGCAGACCCTCAGAGGCAGAGCCTCTCTCACTGTTGCTAATGACGAGTCATAAACCGATAAAGCATTGGCATCTGTGAAATCAAAACGGTTTGAGTCATTAGAAGTTACTGCCCCCCGTCAGCCACCAACAATGTTATACCCAATCTTAAAGCTTAGATTGCAATCCACACAGTGATTATTGAACGTTGCAGATCATGCTCACCCAAATAAGATATTAAAAGTATAGTCAAGGTATAATGTAAAAAAACATTTGACTACATTTTTGCGGTCAAGATGTGTGTTGCAGTTTAGTCTCTATTTAGAGGTTGATTTCCAACGTAATCAAGAGCAAAGAGAGGAGCAGAGAGCGGTGAGAGGAGCACAGAGAGGAGCACAGAGCGGTGAGGACAGAGTCGGCCTTCGTCATCTGTAAATAAAAAATACTCATGTATGCAGGTACAGTGTGCAAGTTTTTGTCCTACCTTTTTGATTCTTGACAAAAAATGTAATTTTAACCTCTTAACATCCGCCTCATTTTGGCTCGTGCACAATGGTTGGGCATACCCAAATGTCTTTGCTTATTTAAAAACACATCTTACATCTCACATGCTTGTGTGATGCATCATTTTAAAGCTAGAGCCTTCTAGTTTATGTAAAAAAACACTAAAATAATGTTTGTCATCCCTATTTTCCTCTGCATCCTTTGAAGTTAGGGAAAAAAAACCCAATTTTTTTAGCCTCGCCTAACATTTTCAATTTCTAAAGGCCCTAAAAAAGGCATACTTCATTGTAAGTTCACAATATTCAAACCCACTGTTCATTGTGTTGTTGACAACAACTGTCTAAAGTTTCAGACTTCTAAGTCTTATAGTTTTTATGCAGTTTCTCCTTTTCATCAAGTAGTGCACATTTGGCACAATTTGGCACAAGTGTGCCAAATTGTGCCAAATATCTTTACTTACATTTAATCATCATAAAAACGATATTTTTTATTATTGGTACTTATAAGTTAATAATCTATGTGTGTTTTTCTTTTTTAAATGTCAAAGTTATTTTTTTATGAGTGTAAATTCATTGCAGCTTCGAGAGCATCTTTTGGCTTCCATTACGCACAATTGTCCAGGCCCAACATAAGACAGGACACCATTGTCCCACCCCTTGTTCGAAAGCGTTCCTCATTGGCTACAAGGACATGTCAATCGTAAATCCCGGAAGTAAAAGCAAACAAGTTGGGACCCCACAAAAGATCGGTGTTCAATGCGCAAACAGCAGCGCAAGATGTACTTACGGGACCTCTTGCAGACTGTAGAGGCTCAGTGGCCCTATGTCACTGAACCACTAGGTTGCAATGTTTGGTGGGATTTCAGACGCGTGTTTCCTGGTCCAAAAATGAGTCCAATACTCAAAAATATGCACAAAATTCCATCCTTTATTTCCATGTGCTGATTAACACGGTCAAAAGACTGTTCCTTCTCACACATGCAACACCTGCTGCACTAATTACCTGCCTTAAATACACACAGGTGTGACAGTATCCAGCACTAGTGACATCTAGAGGCTGGAGGTACATTTTGGCCACTACACACCGGCCCCTTAATTGTTCCTGCATTAGCTAGAACAATTACAACATTTACATGGGGACAACATGGGTGTAATGAACAGATTAGCGCTTTCATTTTCAAACTATACATCAAAGTTACACTTTAAACAAATAATCTCTGACAAGATGATCAAATTCATTAGCCACAAAGTTTGATGTCCACAAACATTTCATCTTTCCATCTCTTCCTCTTGAATGCTTTTGGTTTGTCAAGATGAAACAGATCTTGAACTCCACAGTTAGTGGGCCAAAGGCTAGTTGGCAATGAAGAAAAGCAACCACACAACCCCATGTCCAGTACTTCACCAGCTGTAACCTCACTTCTCTTCTTTATGTCCCCTCTGTCCACTGAGCATACATGCAAATCAGGGAGGCCTGTCCTACCCTGTCCTTTCCCCAGAGTGCCTCCTGCCTTTGTCAAAAGGTCTTCAGCAGCACCAGGTCCAATACCTGTGCCACTGGCCACATCTGAGGAATCCACAATTTCAGAGGGATTAAGCTCACAATTAGAGAATGAGAGGTTGTCCTGTGCTGGAGATGGCGAACTGTTGGAGGTGTGATCACAAAGGTCTGGAGTAGTGTCTTCCAAAGAGGCGCAGTGAAGATCCTGATGACCGGCCCCTGTATCTTTACTGCAGAGTTCAAGAATGGAAGGTGGCAAAGTTACAACTTCATGCATAAAAAACTTGTCTGGCTCAGGGAGTTTTAGTTCAGAAACTCGTCTATTGCTCTTATTTATAGACTTCAATGATGCAAGTTTAGTTTTAATTTCAAGCATTTTGATCTCAATTTCCAGTTGCTCCCTTCTCCTTCGAAGAACTGCAATCTGCTCCTCCAATTCATACTTTTGATCCAATGCAGCCTTTCGCACCAGTAGTGCAGCTATATTTGCTTTAATCTCTAAACGAGCTGCAGCCAAGGATTTAGTTTTGCCATAAGACATTGTATCAAAAGCACTTGATTCAGTTTTTCCTTCAAATATATATAAACACAAGTCACCCTTTTGTGAAGGTTTCCATTCAAAAAGTCTCCTCTTAATCCCAACAACAGCATCTGCACGGCCAATCCACTCTAAACATTGAGGCAGTCCTGCTTCTGTACCTCAGATTTAGACAAAGCTGGGATCCTGCCTGATGCCGTCGGAGGAGTCTTTTGACTTATGTAGAGGCTCAGTGGCCCTATGTCACTGAACCACTAGGTTGCAATGTTTGGTGGGATTTCAGACGCGTGTTTCCTGGTCCAAAAATGAGTCCAATACTCAAAAATATGCACAAAATTCCATCCTTTATTTCCATGTGCTGATTAACACGGTCAAAAGACTGTTCCTTCTCACACATGCAACACCTGCTGCACTAATTACCTGCCTTAAATACACACAGGTGTGACAGTATCCAGCACTAGTGACATCTAGAGGCTGGAGGTACATTTTGGCCACTACACAGACCCTAAAATTGGTCGAGCTTTTCGGGAGTAGTCTCATTTGAAAGATAAGGAGCTAAGGAACACGTGGATACCAGATGTTCGGGTGAAAAACAAAGCTAAAAGTCCGTTAAAAGTGAAAGAGTAACATCTGTGCTCTTTTTTTTCGTTTTTTTCGCTAAAGATAAATGCACATTTTTGGATTATTTCTGCAGAATGGATTTTACTTTGGGAAATACAAGTGGATATAATTCCTTTGGACTGTTCCAGAGAGAATGATGTATTGCAAGCTGGGAGGAGAGCTGATTTATTTGTACAGCACAAGCCCAAAGGTAAAAAACTATTTCGGAATTGATTTATTTTGTACCCACATTATGTGTTATATCTTTTGAATGCAAAGTCTGATGTGGTTTACACATTACTTGTATATAAATGTAGATAAGAAAATAAGCTTTAAAATGATATACAGCTTTTGGGGTTTGGTGTTCAAAATACATCTGCTATTGCCAGCAGAACATTTAAAAACATAAAAACAGCCGCCGGCGCTCCGGTGTTAGTAAAGCGGTTAATATCTTTATTTTTGAAGCCTGAAATGTGGCGAAATGTTGAAAGGTTCAAGGGGGCCGAATACTTTCACAAGGCACTGTATATCACGTATAGTGATTTCTAGCTTGAAGTGGGAAAAAATGTATTTCTTTGAATATCTCACGACAAAACAAAATGAACTAAACTTTGAACTAGTTCAAAATTAAAATTGTGAACTTTGAACATGACCTGTTCACTTTGAGCATGTATGAACTGAACTTGAACTAGTTCAGAAAAGCTGTGAACTGGCACAACACTGGCTAAATGACACGTGCATGAAGCGGGTATAATACAACCATGTTTGCCTAGCTTACCGTATCCTACCAGCGCAGTGCCCTGCGGCCCTCCTGGGGCGTTCTCCTTCTCCTCCCTCAGCACTCGCACATATCGGTGGCTGAGCTCCAGGATCTGCTCGCGGAGCTCCTGGCTGCTCTCGTGACGCGGCTGTTGGGCCGTGTAGCGCAGTAACATTAGACCCCAGGCCAGGCCCAGAAGTACCAGAAGAATACCGAGACGCTGAGTCATGCTCCTGCGGGACAACACCCCCACCATCCTGTGGAAACACAAACCTCAAGTTTGATTTCATATTCATATATACCTGGAATCTACACAGTAGATAACCATGAAGAAGCAAATAAGATCATAGGCCTTTACTCGATTCTAAATGAAGCCTTTGACAACAAAGTCAAATGGTTTTATTTATAATTTTACGTATTTACCATACATCTATCTGGACCGGAGAATGTTGATGACATTGTTGATTGTTGATGGTAGAGCATTGGCCTTTAGGCCCAAAGGTCGTGGGTTCGAACCCACCACGGGACCTTCTCCACCAACTCCCACTGATGCCTCCTGTCGTTGTGTCCTTGGGCAAGACACTTAACCCACTTAGCCTATAAGGAGCGCGGATATGATGTTCGCTGCATGCCTTGATGTGTATGTATATATGTATGCATCAAACTGAAATTTCCCCGTTGTGGGACGAATAAAGGACCTTCTTCTTAAACCTGTGTGGAGCTCCAACAACTTGCATGTTCAAATCTCTGAAAATTACAGCATCGATACCCCCGGTTCAAAACAGTCCTGAGGCCACAGTTTCCGCTATATTTGCAAAAAAAGTCAAAATGACAAGGTAGCAGTCACCATCCATCCATCCATCCATTTTCTTCCGCTTAATCCGTTGCCGGGTCACGGCTGCAAACCGCCCCAGTGCATGCTGCAGGTCCTGGTTCGTTGGAGCCAACAGGACAACATCGTCCGCAAACAGCAGGGATGAAATCATGTGGTCCCCGAACCGGACCCCCTCCGACCCCTGGCTACGCCTAGAAATTCTCTCAATAAACACACTGAACAGAATCGGTGACAAAGGGCAGCCCTGGCGGAGGCCAACATGCACCGGGAACAGGTCTGTCTTACTGCCGGCGATGCGAACACAGCTCTGGCTCCGGTCATACAGGGACCGGATGGCCCTCAGCAGAGGACCCCGGACCCCATACTCCAGGAGAACCCCCCAAAGGACACCCCGGGGAACACAGTCGAACGCCTTCTCCAAATCCACAAAGCACATGTGGACAGGTTGGGCAAACTCCCATGAACCCTCGAGTATCCGATGGAGAGTATAGAGCTGCTCCAGTGTTCCGCGACCGGGACGAAAACCACACTGCTCCTCCTGAATCCGAGAATCAACCATCGGCCGTAGCCTCCTCTCCAGTACCTTGGAGTAGACCTTACCGGGGAGGCTGAGGAGTGTGATCCCACAATAATTGGAACACACCCTCCGGTCCCCCTTCTTGTAGAGAGGGACCACCACCCCGGTCTGCCACTCCATTAGCACCGCCCCGGATCGCCACGCAATGTTGCAGAGACGTGTCAGCCAAGACAGTCCTACAACATCCAGAGACTTTAGATAATCAGGACGGATCTCATCCACACCAGGAGCCTTGCCACCATGGAGGCTGCTAACCACCTTGGTGACCTCAGCCAGGGAGACTGATGTATCCGCCCCAACATCCTCAGCCTCTGCCTCTGTAACGAAGGACGTGATGGGGGGATTGAGGAGAACCTCAAAGTATTCCACCGTCCGACAATATCCCCAGTCGAGGTCAGCAGCTCTCCACCCGCACCGTACACGGTGTTGGCTAAGAACTGCTTCCCCCCCCGAGGGGCCGGACGGTTTGCCAGAATCTCTTCAAGGCCGACCGATAGTCATGCTCCATGGACTCTCCAAACTCCTCCCAGTACCGGGTTTTTGCCTCTGTAACAGCCCGGGCTGCGGCGCGCTTGGCCTGCCGGTACTGGACAGCTGCCCCAGGAGTCCCACGAACCATCATGGCTCGATAGGACTCCTTCAGCCTGACTGCATCTCTTACTGCCGGTGTCCACCACCGGGTTCGGGGGTTGCCGCCGGGACCAGCCCCAGAGACCTTACGACCACAGCTACGAGCCGCCGCATCGGCGATTGAGGCAGAAACAAGGTCCACTCGGACTCGATGTCTCCCTCCTCTGCCGGGACCTGGGAGAAGCTCTCCTGGAGGTGTGAGTCCCCAGCAGACCCTCACTACACGCTTGGGTCTGCCAGGTCTGACCGGCTTCCTCCCCTGCCAGCGGATCCAACTCACGACCAGGTGATGATCAGTTGACAACTCCGCCCCTCTCTTCACCCGAGTGTCCGAGACACGCGGTCGAAGGTCAGATGATACGACAACAAAGTCGATCATCGACCTCCGGCCTAGGGTGTCCTGGTGCCACGTGCACTGGTGGACACCCTTGTGCTCGAACATGGTGTTCGTGATGGACAAACTGTGACTAGCACAGAAGTTCAATAACTGAACACCACTCGGGTTAAGATCAGGGGGGCCGTTCTTCCCGATCACCCCTCTCCAAGTGTCACTGGCATTTCCCATATGGGCGTTGAAGTCCCCCAGGAGAATAACGGAGTCCCCGGTTGGTGCACCGTCCAGTACACCCCCCAGGGACTCCAAGAAGGCCGGGTACTCTGCACTGCTGTTAGGCCCGTAGGCCGTCACAACAATGAGAGACTTGTCCCCCACCCGGAGGCGGAGGGACGCGACCCTCTCATTCACCGGGGAGAACCCCAACACAGCATCGATACATGCTGTGTATCGATGCACACAGCAGTATAGCTGAAATGGGAAGCAATAAGAATGGCCACCCCAGCTCGCCGCCTCTCCCCGAGGGAAACACCAGAAAAGTGGAGCGTCCAACCCCTCTCAAGGAGTTGGGTTCCAGAGCCCAAGCTGTGTGTGGAGGTGAGGCTGACTATCTCTAGTCGGTATCGCTCAACCTCCCCCACGAGCTCGGGCACCTTCCCCCCTAGTGAGGTGACGTTCCACGTCCCAAGAGCCAGATGTTGTGTGCGGACTGGGTTGTCGAAGTCTCCGCCTTCGACCGCTGCCCAGTCCTCTCAGCACCCGACCACCACGGACCCCTCTGCGGGTGGTGGGCCCACAGGAGGGACGGCCACAAGGCGCTCGCATTCGGCCCCCAACCAAAAGGTTGAAAACCCCACATTTTTGATTGGGAGAAAACACTTTTCGCCATAGTAGGTGTTGCAAGTAAATTAAGTTTTGAACTTTTTAATACCTATTGGTATCATTGGCTGTAGCATTGCAAAATGTAGAAGAAATTGTTCTGTGACAGCACTACTTCCATTACCAAATGTACAGACAGTGATGATCTAGGACGTTTTAGGGGGCGATACACAAATAAATTTAATTGAGTAGATGAGCTGCAAAATAGAGTAAAAATATGAGTAGCTACTGCCCTGCTCAAGGTTAAAACCTTTACGTTTAGCATTGATAAAATATGGCCCTAATGCAAGAGAACATTCCTCTCTGAACAAGTCTAACGTTTTTGAGCCAGAGTCCAATTATACGATAAAACTCACCTCTGCCAACAGGACTGGGATGAGGGGCCCCTCAGGAGCCCCAAGGAGCGTCTAGAGTGACCAAGCTTGTGGTTTCAGAGATGGGCTAGCTGCAGTGGTCTGAAGCAAATGCAGGACTCATGTCTCAGCAGAGGGGGCGCCGTGGCTCAGGACATGGTTAATCTGACACATAAGACAGAAACAGGCGTTATTAAAACTCAGAGGTTCAAAGAGAAGCTACAACAACTACAACATTTGAATGTAATGTTGTAATTGCGGCACAGCAGAGGCAGTGGGTACAGCGGCAAGATGCATGCAGCAAAAGCAGGAATTAACATACTCAATAATGAAATTTTATCAATTTGTTGTTGCAGCCCTAAAACATACTGCTGCTAACATGTACCTGTAAACATACTAACGGCTTATTAACTGAGCAAGCGAGGTTAATAAATGTTTTATTATATGACTATTTTTAATTTATGCAAATATCGATCTCCGACTTGGTTTTCCTAATTGTGTTTTTAGCTTTCTGGTCTGCAACGAAGTTGTCAATCTCATCTTGTCTGTTAGTTATTTTTTCTTTGTTATTTTCTGTAATTTCTTACTATTTTAGGAAAGATATCAATTGTGATACACGCTGCGGACTGATTGTAATGGTAACGTCCGAGGAACGATATCAAATGTGATACGCGCTGTTCGGACCAATTGTCATGGTAACGGTCTGAGATGGGAAAATATCAGACCGGTAATCAGCCAATCAGAGCACGCGTATGGTCCAAGTCATATAATAAAACTACATATTGCTTGCACTAGGATACACAGTACTTTTTACTTGCTTCATATTACACTAAATGTAATCTTTATTTATATAAATGTAGAGATTCTATTCTTGTTTTTTGATCCTGGATTTAAGAGTTGTTTAATCTTTTTCAATTAGTATACTTATTGTTCATTTATCTTGTGCTGTGTGCTCTTCATTCATTCTGTTCTGTGACTGGTCATGCAACACTGAAATGTTCCCACTGTGGAACAAATTAAGGATTTCTTAATCTCTTAAACATTCTTAATTCAGGAGTATATGTACTTTTACCACATCTTTCAATGATACAGATGCTAAAGTGCGTCTGCTTCCTCCAACTCCTTTAAAAACTTGTAATTGTATATGTGTACAATTAAAACAAAGTTTGAAGATGAGATGTTGGGTCGTGTTAAGAAGGTTTAAAACAAGAATATCAAAAAAAGATTCAATTAATTGTGTTGTTGTGAAGAAGTTGTCGGTTCGGCGATAACAGATCAGAGAATCAAAGAATTTTTAAAACAGAAAATGCAAAAATAACAAACAGATAGAATTACCAATGTCCACAAATATGATTAAATGTAGCGTTATGTCCATAAATGTACTCACCGTACTTAGACCTCCTGCAGGAACCACTCAGATCATAACAGCTAGCTAGCTTACGGCTAAAACCCCACTTTGTGCCCAAACAGTCAGATGAGTGGAGGAAATACGTAAAAAACTACTTAAATTATAGACTTACTTCTAAGAACGAGTTTACTGGAAACATAGGTTGAAAAAAGCTTCTGCGAACAGTGTTGTGTGGAGAGTGTGGATGGCTTTAGCGTTAGCCCGGGCAAAGACAGCTTCTTCCTGGGCTCAGGTCTCCTCACAGCGGGCTGAAGAACCCTCGGTTACCGCTGATCTCGCTCCAAAGTGTGGGTCGTGTGTCCAGTGTCCGGGCTCGATGGCAGCAGAGGGCTGAGAAGAGGCGAAGCGATTGGGAGCAGAGGCGTCCCACCACTGGACTATCACGGAAAAGGTACATGCAAGGATCCGTGAGGAGCGTAATGCATCATGGGAAATGTAGTCCGGGGTTCCAAAGATTGCAGACCAATGTGAGATTTCATAACACTTTGAAGCAACTTTTGTTAAAGTTAAACTCATTATTCTATCAATGTGCAGAAGCCAGTACTCTTCCCTTGTTTTGTCTATCTGAAGGCCACGCTACAAGCACACCGTGGAAGCTGCTGATTGGAGGTCTCCATGCCTCTGCTCTGTATAATACACTTGCATTCTCTTGTATCTGTGATCGTGTGTTCGTGCTCGTGCTGTCTCTACCATCGACAATAAAACATGTCTTCTGTCTGAATTAAAGACACGATCCCAGACTATGTCATCTTCTTCAGGTGGTGGAAGGATGCGGGCCTTGTCTGTAACATCTAGAGAACAGAAGACTTTTTTTTACACAAAAAGTGTTTTTTTTTTTAAGCCAAAACTGAGAAACCTCAAGAGAAACCATGCATCTGGATCAGCACATGGACAATCTGCACAGCCCCTGATTCTACTCAGGCAGTGAGCTGCTGAGACATGGACAACACCAGCGTCCTCTTTTGCATGGACATCATTTGGAAAAATTGGATTACACAATTTGGACATGATTTGGAACAATTGGATTTCTGAATTTGGACATAATTTGGACTGAATTGAATTGCTGAATCTGGACACTAAAGCTGAAACGTGTGATTGAAAGACACGTCACAGAAGAATTCATGGCTCGACACAACAGATGCTGACATATGCAGCCTGAAGAATCAACACGGAGAAGTGGGAGAGACTGTTTTCAAAGCAATGTCTGGAACCACCATTGACTGATGAAGTTTGGTATTTTACTGAAGATTGTTGACAAGTTTTATGAAAGATCTGAACATGTTTTATGAGTTTTCTGAGTTTTTGAAGTATTCCGAGTTCTGAGTTTTTTGAAGTACCGAGTTTGAGTTTTTGAAGTATTGAGTCATGATGTTATGTTGCTGTTTATCGATCCTGATGGTCACACGTGAATGTATGACCAGAGGGGGGAATGTGAGATTTCATAACACTTTGAAGCAACTTTTGTTAAAGTTAAACTCATTATTCTATCAATGTGCAGAAGCCAGTACTCTTCCCTTGTTTTGTCTATCTGAAGGCCACGCTACAAGCACACCGTGGAAGCTGCTGATTGGAGGTCTCCATGCCTCTGCTCTGTATAATACACTTGCATTCTCTTGTATCTGTGATCGTGTGTTCGTGCTCGTGCTGTCTCTACCATCGACAATAAAACATGTCTTCTGTCTGAATTAAAGACACGATCCCAGACTATGTCATCTTCTTCACCATAATGACCGCTGATCTCGCTCCAAAGTGTGGGTCGTGTGTCCAGTGTCCGGGCTCGATGGCAGCAGAGGGCTGAGAAGAGGCGAAGCGATTGGGAGCAGAGGCGTCCCACCACTGGACTATCACGGAAAAGGTACTTGCAAGGATCCGTGAGGAGCGTAATGCATCATGGGAAATGTAGTCCGGGATTCCAAAGATTGCAGACCATAATGATTGCAGGCAGGCCACCTTTGTGTGGTTGACACCATAGGCTAGGGCTGGAAGTAAAATCTTCGATTTTATTTCCTGCTTTGGACAATTTCGATTTTAAATAGATTTTCATTAAAGTCACCAAAGACATACTTTAAAAAAAAATACCTTACCTTAAAGTTTCAACAAAAAAAATTAAAATTTGTTTTGGCCAATACGTATAATAAAAGTCTTGTACAGACTGTGCTGATATTGCAAGTATAATTCATGTGCTGCTGGAACTATCACAATATCCTTCATACAATTTTCACATTTTTTACAAATTCGATTTTTTCAAAAGCATATTAACTGCCTAATTTCGATGTATTGCCCAGCCCTACCATAGACTGTTGACACTGTAAATATTAACAGACGTGGGCAGTTTCAAAATGGCCAGAAAATGTGAAAAAACGCATCTGCGAATACGTCAGCCGGCACTAGCTCCAAAACTCACTCCCCTCAGCATTAACACATGTGGAACGGAGCTTTCGGCCAAGAGCCGACTTTTGGACCATCCTGTAAAGACGTTATCAAGAGGTCAGCTAATGCTATATGTTAGCAGTGAATAATTCTTATTCCGGGTCCACCCCCATCGGCCCAGGGTGGTATTTGAGCTGGGGCCTGCCCCCACTGGTTGACACATGGGTTGACCATAGACTGTATATATTAACGGACAGAGTCACGTCTATCTCCGCCGTTCTAACTAATCGGCCAAAAATTTTGCTCTACTGGAGCTATACAAAATGGCCGTGTGTGGTCCCGCCCACAAGAAAATTAAAGAGTTATTTGGAGAAAGACGACCCTCGGCGCATGTGGAACGGTATTAAAGCCATCACATTGTGGAAACCTAGCGCTGGGAAAATTGCATCTGTCGGCCAAGCTCTGCCAAACGAGCTGAACACGTTCTACTGTCGCTTTGAATCCGCTGATGCCTGTCCTACTGTATTCCCTGAGTGTTTCAATCAATGTACCTTCACCGTGACTCAGGAGGAAGCCAGGCGTGTCTTGTCCAGGACCACAGTCCGGAAAGCCCCAGGCCCGGACGGCATCCCTCCTCGTGTCCTGAAACTGTGCTCTGAGCAACTTGCCCCTGTGCTAACAGACATTTTCAACCTGTCGCTAAGGAACTGTACTGTGCCGAACTGCTTTAAAGAGTCAACCATCATTCCAGTTCCTAAGAAAACTCCTGTGACATGCCTGAATGACTATCGTCCTGTGGCCCTCACGTCTGTTCTTATGAAAACTTTTGAGCGGCTTGTGCTGGACTTCATTAAGAGCCAGATCCCTGTGAGTGTTGACCCGCTCCAGTTTGCTTACAGACAGAACAGGAGTGTGGAGGATGCCATCTCCTTTGCTCTGAACTCTGTCTACAGTCACTTGGACACTAGTAAATCTGTCGCGAGAATGCTTTTCATCGATTATAGCTCCGCTTTTAACTGCCTTGTCCCAGGTAAACTTATTGAAAAGCTCATGTCTCTAGGTTTAAGTGTTGCCATGTGTAAATGGATTTTTAGCTTTTTAACTGACAGATCTCAGAGAGAGTGAAAATCAATGACTGTTTTTCTGATGTTGTTTCTGTGAGCACTGGTTCTCCTCAGGGATGTATTTTGAGTCCTTTGCTTTTTACTTTGTACACTCACGATTGTGTGTCCTCCTCTGACTCAAACTTGATCATCAAATATGCTGATGACACCACCATCATCGGTCTCATCAGTAACAATGATGAATCCTCTTATAGAGCAGAGATACAAAATGTGGTTCAGTGGAGTAAAACTAACAACCTCCAGTTGAACGCATGGAAAACATGTGGTCTGGTCTACGACTTCAGTCGCAATAGTTCTCATTTGCCTGTCGTAATCGACAACTCCCAGGTGCAGATCGTAGAGGAGTGCAAGTTTCTGGGTTTAACTCTGTCTAACGACCTGAAATGGGTTAGAAACACTGACCGAGTCGTTAATAAAGCTCGTCAGCGTCTCTACTTTCTGCGTAAACTTAGAGAATTTACCACTAACTCTAAGATTCTGCTTAACTTTTCGGGCAATGCCCGAAGGGCCGATGCCCATATTTGGGCCGGTCTGTCTGCCTCATACAAAAAACATGTTTGTGAAATGTGTAAATCCGTTGAGAAATGTTCGAGGGGAGCGCACATGTCCGCGGGGCACCAGCTGTATGTACTCGAACGGGATTCCACCACCTCAGCGGCCGCAGTGTTCCCGCATCCAGCGGCTCTGAGTTGGACGCAGAAACCGCTCACCGGGAACCGCTCACAACACAACACGGTGAGCGCGTAACCGCAACGTGACCATGTACCCATGACCATAAACGCACACAGAACCATGCATGTCTTTGCGTAATTTGTGCACCCAATAAATACACCGCTGCAGAAAACAGTCCGCGTCTCCCCTCTCCTCTAAATTAAAGCTTGGGTACCTACATTTTCCATTGCATTAAAAGCTCATGTTTGAGCCCAAAAGTAAAATGTTGTGAACAGATCAAACAGATTTAGAGCCAGCTAATGGCTGACAATATGCATTTCAGACATTTTTGACCAATTCTCATCCCTGTAACAAACAATAGTATTGTCTGTGACCACCTCCCTCACTCTGAGACATGTTTATTACTCTGTTTAATGTAGACTATTGTACTTTATTTTATTGTTGAAACTGCAGACATCCTGATCCTCTACAGTATTTGCTTCCACATACTGTATAAACCAGGGGTCGGCAACCTTTAGTGCCCCTAAAGTGGCTCCTGGAGACTTTTCAAAAACGTCTGAAAATGGAGTGTGAGGGCTATATTTTATTTCTAGTTTCAATGTGGTTTCTGTAGGGGGAAAAACGTTCTTAACGTTTTTCAATGCTGCAAAAACTTGTATAAGTAATATTCAATTTTAGCATTTCTGTCATATCCTGTGACGCGGCCCGTGCCGGGCGGCCGCTGCTGTAAACAAACCGGCGTGTGTGCATTATAGACTGTGCGCATGGATCCCAAAGATAAAGAGAGCGAGTCGATAAGACTGGACTAGAATGAGAATGAACATTTGCTTTCAGTCAATGAGGAAGGGCTGCTTCATGTTTGCGATGTAATGAAAAGTTTTGTTGCAACAGGAGGAACAATGAAGCTTTAAACACCGTTCACTGAAAGATTCATTCATCCTAAAGTCAGAGCACCTATTTTCAAACTTCAAAT